CGTACGAAATCAGAGGGCAGCACACGGTGCGATCGCGCGACCCTGCACGTGAGCAATCTCCCAACTCATCTCTGTGCAATGGAGACATACGATTTACTAGAGCCAGGCTCGATAAATCTCGGATTTAGAAGTTACGAAGCTTAACTGGTTTATAGTAGGTTAGACCGAGTACAAACCAGTTAAATTTCGGTTAAATCGAGTTGTGCAACCGGGCCTCAATTTGTTCTGTTAGGTCCGATACCCACAACTCGAGTTAACTAGAGTTCGTTTACAACAGGTTTAAATCAAGTTTGACTGGGCCTTAAACATGCTGTAAACCAGTTAACTCCGGTTAAATCAAGCTCTGAAACCAGGTCTTAAGATACTTTTCCTATTGACTACGTTCCCATCGTACTCCTCAATTCGGGATTAATCGGATCCGAATCTAGTAAATCGCATCTCTCCATCGCATTAATAAATGCGCAAATTTGATTCTGAGCGTCTCGATTGGTCTCGATCGACACTTGAAATCGAATTTACTGAGTTTGGACCCGATAAATCTTGGATTTCAAGGACGATGGAGATGAAGTCATAGACTAAGGGGGTCTATTACGTAAAGCAAATTGAACGAAAATATAAAAAATGAGTAGCTCACGGTATTACGGAATGTTTTTAGTGGTGAAAATGTGGGACCATTCATATGAACTGTCTCGACACAAATTTTTAAGCGAAATAGTGAAGCATACAAGAAAAGATAGAAAAATAAACACTGTGAACGCCATCTTCCACGAATTATGACACCAAAATTCAAAATGGAAAACTTCCTGGGTGTTTTGATTTTTGGCAACAATCGTATTCGGGGACGTTATAATAACCTTATTAGAAGAAGAAGAGAATTACGTGATGCCTCAGACCCATTTTCGTTAGAAGAAAGGGAATTTACTAGTATGTACATACAGGTTAGTTTTTGTTATTGCGAGGTTATATTCATTATTAAGCATTGAAAACTGTTAAATAATTCATGCTTACATGACATGATAAGAAAATTATATTGTTAAACTTCTAATTATAGTACATGTAAATATGAATGTAATGCATATTTAAAAAATATAGATAGACTCTAGTCCTCTTCTTTACTTTTAACGGCTTTCCATTCCCCCGTCTTTCCTGCCTATAATGCACTACCTCTCAACAATTTTCGATTTACAAGGTATGTACCTTTATTTGCAATATTACTAAACCGGAAGTGCTAGTGATCTCGTTCTTTCACATAGCGAATACGTAATTTGGGGAATAAACTTATGTGAAATGACAGAGCGAGAAGTGAGCGCTCTCGTCAAAAATATGTAATAAACAGCCAGGTTCGATTCTACAACTTTAATTGACCGAAGTTCAACTGATTTAGACATAGTTTAAAGCAGCGTAAACGGATTAAACTCCGGTAATCCAGGATTGTGGAACTAGGACTTACTAGTTTTCCTCCAGAACCGACTGCAGTGCCACTGTTTAATACTGGATCAATCTGATCGGCAACATGGAGTCGCCATTAAGTTTCGCATCTACTCTCTCTTTGATTCCGTGACTAGTCGGTGGTCGGACGAATTCGTAACGTGATGCTCTCACGCAACGTGAAGTATTTTTATTTGCAACTCCATTTGGTAGGGTCCCAGCAAAAAGTACGTTTCCGAGTTACGTTTCGTCTACGTCAGTGCCTTCTTATCATTGTTGGCGCACCCGCTGGAAACGAGGCGGCCAGTGAGTTATTACGAAATCACCGTGCGTGTGACAGTAGTCGACAGTAGCAGATTAGCATAGTGGTTGTCCGGCGTTGTCGCCCGTACCCGTTCCAACTTGTTACCTCCGGTTCGCGTCAGGGAAAGTGTTCAGCCCGTTTTCCTTTCAGATCGACCCGAGCCTCGACCTAATAATTACAATCCCCGCTTTATTCCGAGGACTCGTCGGTCTCTAGTTTTTGCCAGCCGGTATGTTTGTACCCGTAGGATCCGCTTTAAATTTCAGTCGGGGCAATTGACTAGATGCTCTTTTTTAGTTTCCTAATTTGAATTTCTCGAAATCCTGACTCAAATCTTAGTGTTGATTTGTCAGGCTTTTCTTATTGATGGTAGCTCCAGAGACTGGCATTACATTGAAATAATCTAATTATTTGAAACTGACATTTGGTTTAATTTTTTTTTTTAATAATTAGTACCGATAATAAATTTTAAAACTGAGATGAATTTCCGGTAGGAATGTCAATTATGAGATAAGAAAGGAATCCAATCAATAATAAAAAGGACAGTGGCATAGGCAGTAATTGGGGTAATTGGAGTTAGTCTGGTAATAGGGACCATAGATGTGAATTTAACATTTGATATGTAACAACTGCAGATAATCAGTTTCTTTATTTACTGACAGTTTTGAGTAAATAAATAACTGTTTAATGTATAATTTGTACTAAATCTTGTTTTATTATCAATAGAAGTAATGGAGGATTAAACTTATTTCACCAACCGTAAGGAGTTTGGACAAAAATCTGTGAAATTGGCACGATTATATTATGAATGTAAGTTAATATTTTATTAAGTTGTTAAGTGTAAGAACATATTTTGGAAGATGAGGTTGTTTATTAATAAGTTGCTTATTAGTAGTTTTTTTGCATATAACTCTCATTGTAATACATAATGAATATAATAAAAATAATACAAAAACTTCAGTTAGCTGAGTCTACTTTGTGCAAATATTTTTAAAGTGCAATAATTGTGAAAAAAGGATACATACTATGTGGGATTTTTGTGTCTTGCGTATTATTTTTTCAATCATCACTGAAATTAGGTGACTGACTGAAATTCAAATGTTAATAGAGTATGATTTCATTTTTAGAAATGACCGAAGGACCAGTGTAGAAAGTAACTGCAGGGAGTCTGCTGGAGAACGTAAGACTTGGACAGTTATAACGTATCATGAGCGTAAGTTTTAAGTCTATTTCAGTGAATTTATATGCATTTCACCATGTTGGCATCTTTAGAAAATGTAGTGTTTCTCTAACAGTGATGGCTGATTCATAAAAAGTTAACATCCTAAATTTACTTTTTACTTATGTATTTAAAACCATTCATATATACTTTTATCTTTAAATGTTTGCCTAATGTATCCAGTAAATATTTTTATTTTCCAAGAAGTTGTAAACTGGGTTTAATATAAATATATATCAACTAATTATGTTTCGGTATATAATGTAACTAAAGCTACTCAATATCTGTAATAAGATTAAATAAGGATTCATAATATTGTAAATCCACTAAACTGTCCATAGGAATTATTACCTGTTTATATGAAACGTTGCACCTTAAAGAAATGAGTATTCTTTATCTAAAAAAAGAGATTAAACATCTTTCAAATATGAACGATTACAAAGAGAAATTTTATTTCTACTGTATATTATATTATTGTATACAAAGTGTTAAATTTAAACATTAAATAACTGTTATTAATTATTTACCACCTTGTGGATAATAACTAACTTTTCGTCATATGATTACATTATTTCATAGTCTTATAACTTTTAAGAGATTTGTTAATTTAATGGAAACACAGAAAATCCATTGCATCTTTTGAATGCGGCAGCTTTGTCCATTTCATCGAAACTATTTTGAGAATGCCTCATTACCGGCAACACGGCCAGTGAATAGTTACCGGCATGGTTACATAACTCCCGCTGGATCACTGACCTAAAATCGCAGTAAATTTAGTCTCGATGACATCCATGGAATGTAATTAAATTTTTGTTCGCGTTTGAAATCCAAGAGCTATGTAATGTAGTTCTGTGCTTAAAATAGCGCAGCATTAACTGCTCGACGAGTTGAAGAACCTATCATTTGACTTAACCTTACAATTCTGCTTTGTAAAATTAAATGTTGTGAGAATGATAAAAGCATTTCTCATTTAGTGTTGTTGATTATGTGAGAATGTGTCGAGTGTTGTGCACAATGACATGGAGTTATACGGATTCTTATAAGTATTTCTATGTCTTAGCATGCTGAAATATATAATCGATTTTAACTAACTCTACCACCTGTCAATTTCATTTTGATAAGTATATCTAATTTTAGATTTTTTGGTTGCATGTGCATCAATAATAAAATATTGAAGCAGTGGATGTTTGGTACAGATGATAGTACATAGCTCAACTTAACCTTATTCTTATTATATTTTGTGATTCTGAATATCGAACATTTAATAGGAAAATTGTCATAATAATGCTGTCAGTTTCATATAAATTTGTACATAAGGTCTGCAGTAAAAATGTAGGTGGTTTTAAATTGTTCTGCTTATATGCTTTAGCGATTTCATATTTGTAATCAATTTTAATTTAATTTCAATTTTTCTCCAAATTAGTGCATTTCAGTTAAATGTTGGTTACATGTGTAATATAACTTAGTGCAGTAATTGATACGTAATATTCAGAGAAGTACGTAACATAACCTTATAATTTTCCCATGTGAGAGTAAATATTAGCTAAGTGATATTACATGATGAGAACGTTTCTTTTATATTATATTGCATACGCATTTGTTATAAATACAAAAAAGAATAAGTGATCATATGGATTTTTATAAACATCACGCATTGATTTGACATTTCAAGGTATATAATCGATAACAATCTATTGATTTTTACTAAAGAAGCAATTCTAATTTTAATTTGAAATAATGTTTATTTTATGGTTAAATTGATCTTGATATTAATATTTTTATAGACATTATTAAAGTTCAGTGTATCGATATGTTACAGGTGGTTGGAGTGGCGGAGAGGTGGTGCCGCGAAGGTGGTTGACTCGCCTTTGGCTTCGTGAAATGATCGAAAGTGTATCTCGTCGAGCGCTGAGTGGCTCCAGTGGGAGCTACCACGTTCGCGGAGCCGAACTGGCGCGGGATCGGAGATTGAAGTCCCTTTCAGCAACCGTTGTCTTTTTAGATGACACTCAGCATACATTTCAACTGGATGTAAGATATTTTTCGTTTACTTTATAGTACAGAACCTTTTTCATGAACATCTGAAGACTTTAGACTTTATAGTACAGAACATTTTTAATGAACATATAACTTAATTAATTATTTAACTTGTATTCAGATAAATAATTAAGAAATTATAGGGTACAGTAAATTACATTTGATTTCAGAAAAGAGCAAAGGGTCAGGCTCTCTTAGATCTGGTATTTCAACATTTGGAACTTATAGAGAAGGATTACTTTGGTTTACAATACACTGACAATGGCTCGGCACCGTCTGGATGTCCAAACCCTGATATAATGGTATGCACATGCCGTCATACGCCTACATTATTTTTTGTATTATACATCATATTTTCATATTAAAGTAATTGGTTTTTTACATATTGTATTAAAGTAACAAATGATACCAATATCCATGTTTTTGGAAAAATCAGTAATTTATTATTATATTTGTTTAATTATTTGTACATTTTGTTGTAGCGATGGTTGGATCCTTCAAAACCTGTGAAGAAACAGTTAAGAAGTAAGGGTAAAGGTCGTTCTTTTTAACCTATTAATTTTAGCATTTAAGTGCAGTAAATGACGATAATAATTACGTTAAAAGTAATACTCATCTACATTTCGATATTCTTACTAACTTTGATAATTCACGTAACACCTATCTAAACATTTAAATACCACATTGATATTTTAACATTATTATTATAGGTGGACAGTTCTTCTTTAGGGTTAAATTTTATGTATCCGATCCAAGTAAACTTCAAGAGGAATATACCAGATATCAATTTTATTTACAAATTCGAAGAGATATCCTTCATGGGAGACTTCAACTGCCACCAAGTACAGCTTGTCTCATTGCCAGTTATACCGTCCAATGTAAGTAGATTATAAAAACGTATTGTGTTCATTTAACGTATAGAATAAATGGCAACATTGACAATAGTAATTACATGTTTTCAATAACTTTTGTTCCTAAAATAATAGCTGAATTGGGAGATTATCACCCCGAAGAGCATGGTCCAGGATATCTTTCGCGTCTGCAACTGATTCCTGGTCAGACGGAGGAGATGGAAAAGAAAATTGCAGAGTTACATAAACTTCACAAGTATGATCACTAATTTACTAGCTGTATGATCTATGTTTCAATTTATATTGTAACTTTTATCATAATTTTTATATTGTTTTGGTGATCGCGCAGAGGACAGTTGCCAGCCGACGCAGAGTACAACTTTCTTGATCATGCCAAACGTCTAGATATGTATGGAGTGGAGTTACATAAGGCAAGGGTATGCACGTTTGCTGTTGTACTTGCTTTGTAGCTTGATTTCATTTGCTTTGATGCTTGTTCTTTCTGTCGTATGTTTTTACTTAGTCTTGCTTATTACACGTACGTATACTAATGAAAGTTCTAATTGTTCAAAACCCGTTACAGCAGATTCTTATTCAATTAATTGCGATTTTGAAATTTCAGGACACTTCCTTTCTATATATATTTGTATTTCTTTTTAAAGGTAATTGCATGTATGTTGCGGAATAGTACTTTTTATGTTTGACTTGTCGCATGTGATTCTGAAACGTATTCAATTAGTTTAGTAAATCATGAATGTTCATATATTTCGGTATTTAATAAAAATCTTTCATTACAGGATTCCACAAACAAAGAAATTCAATTAGGCGTAACATCGATAGGCCTCGTAGTCTTCCAAAATAATATAAGGATCAATGTATTTTCGTGGTCGAAAATCGTCAAGATTTCTTTTAAGCGGAAACAATTTTTTATACAATTAAGGAGGGAGCAGGTACATTAAAAAAATATATTATAAGATTGGTTAAGAGTGTCAAAGAAGATTACTGACAAATATTGCATTTTTTTTTCTTTAATTTTACAGTCAGAAAACTATGACACGTTGTTGGGCTTCAATATGCAGACATATCGTAGCTCGAAAAACTTATGGAAAGCCTGCGTGGAGCATCACACCTTCTTCAGATTGCACAGTCCTAAATTGCGTCCTCGACGATTCCCCCTCACTTTAAGTAGTAGATTTACATATTCCGGTCGCACTGAGTTCCAAACTGTAGAGGATGGCAAACATCGAGCTCGAGTGGAACGGACGTTTATAAGGTAATGTTATTGGTAATGTCTTCAACGACATGCCTCTTATGTTTAGTACTATAATTATTTTGTGGTTTCAATTTGATTAGCTGTAGAAGTGAAAGGGTTACAAAAGGTTTTATTAGGCTTCCATAATAAAGAAATTCTGTCACTGACTGTCATCGTAACTTATCGACTACTTTTGAGAAGTTTACTGACTACACGAATTCATAAGTAATATCTAAAGTTTTACCATTTGTACAGATCACCAAGCAAAAGATTGGTCCATGGGGTAACAGCACCGATCGTCGAGGAAAAAGGAAAGGCAATTCTCCCACCTGGTCGACCACCACGTCCATATGATAACAAGGTTCAGTCTCTTGGTGCTCGGGAACCTCGTCAAGCCTGGGGAGAAGGAAATCCCAGCGATGAGTTAGTGTTACATCGTTAATCATAATCTAAGCGAGTTTAAATCGTTAACCCTTCAACTGCGAAGGGTGCTTAAAGGCATCTAGTGACAAGCGCTCCCGTGATGTAAAAGGCAGCTAACTTTTACTTGTTCTTTACCACTGCGTCGGGCGAGTGGCACATTTATTTTTTTTTCTGTGCACTCAGCAGTCAAAGGGTTAAATTCCGAGGACTTTAGTTGACCATCTTTTATATTTCGTATTTTGTGTTTGGCATCTCTAAATAATGACAGCTCAAATGTAATACGTGCATTCCATGTGTTATTAGAGCGGTTCTTATTTAGTCTTGGCAAATATTTTTTTACGATTTTTTTTCACACTATCCCCCAATTTGGTTCTATTTTATGTAAAAATAATTCGTGTAAAATTTAACCTTTGGACAAAGGGAAAGGGTGGCCCTGAGTCCTTAAAAGTGGAAAAACCCATAAAATTGAAGAAAAATCAATTTTATTTGTTTATCTTGCAAAATATTAATTATATGCAAAAAAGCTTCATACAAAAGTTGTAGATCTATTTAATATGCGCATATTATTATGTACGACTTTTTCTCGGAAACAGTCATACAAGAAAAAGTCATAGGTAATAATATGCGCATATTTAACAGATCTTCAACTTTTGTATAAAGCTTTTTCACATATAATTAATATTTTGCATGATAAACAAATAAAATTGATTTTTCTTTAATAGTGTGGTTTCTTCCATTTTCAAGAGCCCAGAGGCACTCTTAACCTTGGTCTGATTAAGCTCAAATTTTACATGAATTATTTTTATTATTATTTTTACATAAAATGGAACGAAATTGGAGGTAGCACGAACAAAAACCGCAAAAAAATGTTTGCCAAGAGTAAATAAGAACCACCCTAATGTGTTATGTTATATACCTATCCTATCGTGTCGCATGTTTCGTGTTACTAAATCTTAGTATTGCCTGTGTTGCATGTTCGTGTCATCAACTCAATCTCCGGTACACAGCGAGGGTGGTTTTTTGTCCCTCAGAGAGGATATCACCGGGTCGCACACTCAAGGTGGCGCCTTCTCACCTGTTCTGGGCTCACGTGTGCTCAGTTACGCCGATGACGATGCGGCCATCGAGAGGAATATTTATGATCTTCCCGACTACAGTGAGCCCACCAGTTCACCAGCCCCCCAGGTGAGCGCAGGGCACTATTTGAATACACAGTCTATCTTTCGTCGAGACAAGAGAAATTTCAAGCAGAACTGTTTTTATTCATTTGCATATGCATACAGCAGAGGATAGTGCTGTTGCGTAACTATCTATTATACGTACTTTCTACGTAGAAATTTAATATGTACTGTGTACTTTTATGGTGAGGGATGTACGCAGAGATTTAGGTTGCAGCTATTTTATAGGGGATCTATTTCGTTAGCTGATAACTGTTTTTTTTTTAGATTTGAAATTATTGATTAATTAATAATAATGTTACCGACATAAAGTATCGAAGAACAAAAGTAAGCTGAATATTTTGTCAAACATTTATTTCATTTATTGAATGTATGCATATGCATATGGAAGTTCATCCTTGACAAACGATCTTCCCAATTACGTTAGCTGTGCATTATTTTGCTTGCATTTTGTAAACAAACTAGATACGGAAGTATAAAGCTCCGATGGTTTAAAGATAGCGATGAATTAAAAACATTTTGTGAAAGTGCCAAATCATTGATTAGCCGCAACGCGTATGTCAGGTTTCGCGAAGTAATCGAAATTTAGAGCATTCTGTTAATGTTTTCCTTTAAATGTACTACTTCAATCGCGTTAAAAAAAAGATTTAAACGCCGTGCACATGAGATAGTAAACATTGTGTAATATCATTCCAAATGCGAAAGTTAAGTGCCGTGGATTAATTAATACGAAATTTATCATACAATTCAAACTTTGGTCCCGTATACTTGAGCCATAGTCGGATATACTCAATTTAACTCTACCGCACATATCTCATTTCTTCTGCGCAAGAAGGGACATTTTTACTGTGCAATGCTTTCCTCGAATAGTCGATCATCATCTATTAAAATACTTACAATCTACACGTGTTACGTGTACTTATCTACATTAAGTGCAGAACGTTTCGAATGCGTAAATTTCTCTCGAGAACAAAAGTTCAGCCGATCTCGCTGGGTGTCAGGAAACGTGAACGCAACGTAACTAATAATAAAATGCAGCAAGTGTGGCCTTGCACTTGAAATCATTTTGCATCTGTAACAAGCTGCTACAGTTACCGACCTACGAGATTAATGGAGCAATCCACACGAGCCGCATGGATGCCGCGCATGAACACAATGAATCAATTAACACGTTTTTACGGCGTCACGCCTTGACCATTATGTTCTGCATGATGACTCCTCTGTGTCGTGTCGAGCAGACTACAAAACTAGTTGTATGTTGGGATCTTACGTTAGTACATCACATTAGTTCTCGCTTGTAACTCTCGTATTACATTTCATGAGATCGGCATCATCGTAATAACCGTTTTCGATATTCTCCCCTACAGATACTGGAGGACGGGCTGGTGACGATAAGGTTAACGCCGGACGAGCAGGGCCGTTTTGGATTCAACGTGAAAGGCGGTCTGGACCTTGACATGCCCATTTTGGTGTCGCGTGTCGCGCCGAACACACCTGCCGATCGGTGCTATCCAAAGCTGAACGAGGGTGATCAGGTAAGGAGCGTCAAGTCGTGCTCGGGCCTTTAACGCGAGACTTTGTACATTCTGGTGAGCGCTCCAACGTGTAACCGGAGCTTTTGAAGTTACGGAGTTAGGTAATTTTTCTGTTCGTGTTGCCAGTAAATTTGACTCCATTGTATGGCTGATTTATGAATGAAGTTGCGTGGTCGCAGGTCGTGTACATCAATGGAATCGACGTGAATGGGATGTTGCACGAGCACGTCGTGAACCTGATACGCCAGTCTCGAGACTCGGGAACTGGTGAACTCACTCTTACGGTGAGGCCCAATGCCCTGTACAATGCACTCGCTGGCACCGACGAAACCTCAGAGGAGGAACCGCCTTATAGGTATTTCCTGAATTTATTTCATATACGGGATGACTCGTGTGCAGCGCTGTTAAAACATCTGCAGGGAGTGTCAAAATATATAAAATTCAGAGTGACTTTTGAGGGCAGATTTTGTTTAATCTTGCAGTGGATACTTCAATTTTTGTTCTCCTTGGAACCTAAGGTTGATACGATATAAAAAGGTGCACTGTTTAGTGGGATTTAAAAAGAATATCCTGGGGATTTTTCTTAAACTTGAGTTATAACTATGTTTCTTTTTATTAGATACGTGCCGGATGCTCCTCACGCTGCCGTTGGATCCGATGCCCTTGCTCAGTCCATGCTGTTATTAGCCGATGGCCTTGCCAGTGGTGCACTTATAGCGCAGTACGAGCAACTCTATAGGAAGAATCCGGAACTTACGTCGCTCGAATCCAAAAAGCTCGAGAATCAGAGTAAAAACCGGTATCGCGACATTTCGCCGTGTAAGTTTCCTTTTGGCGCGAACATCTCAAATCTAACGGTCACGCTACACGAAGTGCGTTGCAAGTAATAACTCTTTGTTCTCGCTGTTTCGCAGATGATGTAACCCGTGTTATTCTAATGGGTTCGTCGAATGGCGATTACATTAATGCTAATTACGTGAACATGGAGATTCCGGGATCTGGCATCATAAACCGATACATCGCCACGCAGGGCCCTTTGTCATCGACTGTCGCAGATTTTTGGCAGATGGTACTGGAAGCTGGCAGTACCCTCGTTGTCATGCTGACTACCCTTGTGGAACGTGGACGAGCTAAGTGTCACCAATACTGGCCAACTATCAACGAAACTCTGACCTTGAGGAACCTCACGCTTACTTCTACCTCGGAAAAAGTGGAAGACACCTTTGTCTTTCGGGAATTTATACTTCGTGATATCAATGTACGTAGAGATGTCATTTAGCTTGCTTATGAGTTTTATGTCTGTGTGGCATTTTGTTAATTTTTATTTTGTTTTGCTAATTAGCTTTAAAAACGTCAAGTTGAGAAGGTGGCTCGCGTTAATCGAGGCGCTGGCATCCGTTATTTTTACTTTCTTTGTGATAGGACTTTAAGGTGATGTGAAACCCCCTTCAAATCAGTCGATTCGAATACAACACTTTTTTTTTAAGGGTAATAGATCAAACTGTCCAAAACTTTGACACATCACTCCTGATCATCTAAGAATTGTCCTGACACATTCAACATTTGGATTTTTAAAAAAAATTTGTTAACTCAACACAGACCAGAACCAAAATGGCGTCGAGCTCTCATATTTCGATCAATATACAAATATCGAAGACTCTGATATGAGAATCGAAAGGGTCAGGACAATTTTACGACAATTTAGAACACCCTCGTAGTCGACAAACTCGCATTTGAACGGGATAAAGGCAAAAAAACTGTTGTATGCGCTTCTATGCTGAAACGATGGTAATACGGGGTCTCGGAGTGAAAATTTAATTGACTTGGAAATCACAGATGGCGCAGGGGGTTTCTCTGCAGTCAATTAGGGCCCCAGAAAGCATGAATCCAGAGGATTTCTGGAGTTTTACTTCGATTTCTTTATAATTATTGTATGAAAACGACAGGTGGAGTATGCCATTTGGTACAATACCCAATATAATTCGACACAGTTGTCTATATAAAAACGAACGTCGGCAACGTAGGCATTTAGAATAATCTTCTTTATCGACGTCGATCAAGTTCCTCGACGTGTTTCACTTCACCTTAATCGGTATTGTCAGTACGTAGGTTATTCGTACATTCGTCACCGCTTTTGTCTGTTAACGTAAAATCTTGTTACATTTTTGTTGGAATAAACAGACAGGAGAGGAGAGAGATATAACACACATGCAATACTGCGGTTGGCCGGATCATGGTGTGCCCAACGACTGGCGACAGTTCACAACTTTTACGGAGAGGGTACGGGCTGCGAGGACGGGAATAGTGGAACCTGCGGTAGTTCACTGTTCTGCTGGAATTGGCAGAACCGGAGTTTTAGTTCTAATGGAGACCGCTCTGTGCCTCGTCGAAGCGAATCAGCCTGTTTATCCTTTGGACATTGTGCGCTCCATGAGAGATCAGCGAGCGATGATGATTCAAAATGCTGTACGTCATTTTTTATTTTATTATGTCCTATGATTTTCAATTCTTGGTAAGCCATGATCTAGCTGGCGTTTGAAACACCTCGCGGAATAATTCAGTGATTAATTCTAATCGTTCAAATGTATATAATTCGACAATTTTTGCTTTTCGTTTGATACTCCAATAGTTTAATTAACCAGATTCGATGCACTATCTTCTCTTATTCGACCATTCTTTTTTCAGAGTCAATACAGGTTTGTCTGTGAATCGGTCCATAAAGCATACACAGAAGGTATAGCGAAACCCCTTCCAGAGTTCAGCAGGTGAGACTTGTAGCCGCTCGTGAGAAGAACACACCTACACGTCATATTACTTCGTGGTCCTCACGGTTCTCTTCATCTTAGAGTAATCGAAGGTTCGATGCATAGTTGTATACCCCGACAATAACAGTTGTTGTCCGTTATGACGGTTGCTTCTTTAATCCATGGGTTGCGAAAGCGTGTTCGCACAAAGTAGCGTTGGCTCTACTCTTCAACGAGTGGTTACTTGAAACTTCAGTAAGTTGATACCGTGGCTCGAGCTTTTAACGGATGCTGACAATTGAAGACTGAATGATAAGGAGGATTTTATTGCCAGTAACTGTTGAAGAACGCGTCGTACGATGACATGTTAGATACGTATTATTGGATCCATGTAATTCTATTGCAAGAAGAAAAATTCTCATTTGAATAAGTGGAATGCAAACCGATCGTAACAGGTACTGTGTAGAATCTATCGCAGTATTACATTGAATCGTTCGCGAAGAAATTAAATGCTCCTCGATCTGTGAGAGTTTGAGAATGATTAAGAGGCACCACGTTAGAAAATTAAATATTTAGTGTACGAAAGCATATAAAAGTCCTTGAAGACGGTGCGTAGATTTAATATTTTCCACTAGTGTCAGCTAAATAACGCTCCTCGAAGTTATGCCATTATAATGAGACACGCAAATACGGAAACATCGAGACATTAGTGAAAATTTACATTTTCAGATATATTTATTTATTACTATAACTCTTTTTGCCAAATGTGACGTTGAAGTAATGCCAAATTCATACGGACAGATAGAAAATCAACGTGTTTTGGCTGTGTTCTAATTATTTAGAAAATAATTGGAACACAAATTTGTAATCCTTATATTGTCCTGTGCTACAATGCCGATATGTATCAGACATTTTAAACAATTTGTCCTACGATCGAGGTTGATATTTATGGACATCTTATTACTTTGTCTTTAGGAACGAGGTCTTCCTCTTTTTACTGTAATCTAGTTGGACATACAAACCAGTAATTTCATGTTAAGTAATCTTGAAAATGTTTGAATGTTAATCTATGTAACGCATTCTTCAACGATTTCAAACGTAGCCTGAAATAATGAATTAATTCAAGCCTAATATCAACTTGCTCCTCATAGTGTATATTGTGTACATTTTTTTTAACATTTAATTCATCGGAATGAGTAAGCCACTAGACAAGTCATTTTATGTTTCTTTTATTTTTTTCAATGAAACACACCATTTATCACATTTTCCTTAAACAAGGACACGGCGTTGTCATATTTAGGCATTACATTTGATTAGTAGGAATTTTCATTAAATCCTAGCGAATGTCAGCACGTTTCTAAGCTGGTGTATTTTGATATTTGTATCGAAACCTAGCCATTTCGATGTGAAAAAAAAAAAGAAATCTGTCCTTGATACCGTCATTATTGTCGACAAGTTCACGAAAGAAACGCTCTCGTGTGATCCGCACCCCTTTACCGTGGGTCGATATTACGATAAGAACATAGTAACCTTAGATATATCGTATCAATTACGATGAACCATAATCAAATAGTACTTTCGTACAATAATTGAAAATTTAAAATAATGTAAGTAGACACCCGAACGGTGTGACGCGCACTTGATAAGGTGAAGTATTCGTCCTGCGAGTGCATAATGTGTATCAGTGAATACTCTACATAATCTACTTAAATTCAGAAGGAAACGGTGATTTAACAGATTCATGTACACTGCAATGGTACAATATCCTTCAAGATGAAACATCCGTCCTGTAGAAATATTACAAAAAAAGAAAAGAAAAATACTAGTTCCTTAACTTCTAATCAGACATGTTTTACTGTTTTTAGCTTAATTTTTTACTTTGTTGCGCTTAGGCTGCATTAATTCTCCCTAATTGATTGCTACACGTGCAAAAGTCTCTGCTAGTTTTGTTAAGAGCGAAATCCTATCTCCCTTATTTAATCACTCAATTAATACCTGGTCCGCTTTGTGATCAATAGTACATTTATGGACAGCAGTGCACAGTTCGTTAAAGTAGATTGAAATTGTCCTGAAAGTGCCATTTTAGAGTGTTAAATATACCACGCCTACAACCGATTAAAAAAAAAATATATCTTGCAGTGTTTCGATACAGTTATATTATTGAGTGCCTTCAGATGAAATAAGACATTTACATTTCTTAATAATCTATTGTCGCACATTCAGTGAAATGAAGAGTACAGAGCACTTTCGTGGGCAAGTAGTGTCATGGAAGAAAATGTTTAATCTATTCAATGAAGAGGTTTTATGATAAGACCAACCCCAGGAGCCAGATTGTTTTGTTTTGTAATATTGGATTGTCGGAAAAGTCATGACGCATTTTTCTATGCCATCTGTTACAAAAAGGCGTCATAATTTTTCCGACAACCCAATAGATCAGAAAACATTTTCTGTCCAGTTTGATGTGCAGGGCTAAGTAAACATTGCAGATAATGACTGGGTCAGTGTTTCGCGTCTATATATATATGGCGCGAAACTCTACCGAGTTTCTTAAGGTGATATGAAAGGGACATTCTATATATATAANTTTTATATATATGTATATAGAATGACCCTTTCATATCACCTTAATATATCGTACATGTTGTATACACTTTCCCCCTGATCGTCTTATGTTTGTCCCTTAGTACGAGACTGAATGACAGTCAGTCGAATTGATAACTGTCCTATTGGATTCATTTATTTTAACCATTTTAACCCTTTAGCTACGAAGCGCCACAATAGTGACCTTTTTATTTACTACGCATTTATAGCGACAGACAAATATCGCATTCGTCTATCACTACTACTAATCTGCGATTGTTTATTCACTTTATTTTGAGATCAGATCAGTCCTTGGGTTTGAAATGTTGAATTGTTTATTACTGATAAGCCGCACGTCCTATCGGGTTTTTCATTCGATCACTTGGCATCTAGAAATTTTTATCGAATTAAAAAAAGGTATAAAACCTCCACGCCGGATGTAACAATTTGTATACAGCATGCAACAAAATTGGTGGCTACACTTTACACAGCGCTGTTCCCGTTGAAAGTAGAGTTTAAAAGTCTTGTACAATACCCCCCGTTAGCTATTTTTTAATTAATTATTACAGGTAAACTATGCGCCGCGGAAAAAAAAAATACTACAGGACTTTTCGACGCGAAAAAACATCAGGCATACTGGTATTTTTTTTATTAAATTCCAGATTGTTGTAATATTATTAATTCTTTCTACTATCGAATGATGCACATGGTGCGTCATCGAGTTTGGAAAGCTTAACATGTGATAGGGTTAATGTAACAAATATAACCGCATGGATTGAAAATTAACTAACAGAGACACCTTGAATTTAAGTTTTCTTAAAATGGCATTTGCTTCTTTTACATCAGGACGTTAAAAACGAAAGAATCATCGTTTCCTATTCTACATTTAATTCGTTGAATTATAATTTAATGGAGAAATGTGTATTTATTAGTAACGAATCATTAATACTGTAATTATCCCTTTAATAATGAGTAAATATAACTCTCCTGGTAACAAATTCACCAGTTTTTCGAACCAATCAATTCTGTGAATAAGTGAACAGGTTCTTGCAGTACTGATCTTTGAAATGAGCTAGAATTGAAGTAATGAACAGGAAATATCACGGTAATCAATCCCGTGTTCGGTAGCGTATTCATTGATATGCATGGTATATTTTTTACCTATATTAAACGAACAAATTACGACCAAATTATCGTCTAACGTCCGTAGAGAGGCGCATCTAAGGTGCGAGCGTAACTCTGTAAATAGGAAACGAAGTAACCCACGTTTATTATAAACTAAATATATTCTTAATACGAATTCATTCAAGGCCTAAACCTGCGACGTCTCCGCAGCTGCACGTTTGCGGGGCTTTTCGAAATGTTTATTTTTTTACCGCGAGGCAACCTTGCAGCCCAACAACGGGCTGCGGTGTCCATTGAGAATCCGGCTGTTAAATTTGTACCTTTTTACTTATCGTTTCACCGCTAAGAGAGAGAGAAAAAAAAAAAGAAAGATTGCACCGGAAACGAACCGAAACAGCGTCTTAGTTGTTCATCGTTAACAGTACTCTGTAAATCCTCGGGATTCCCTCTTCTATAAGAGATCTGGTTTCTTGTAATATTAAGAGGACCGAAAAGTAATCAAAATCTTACTGTACTCACTAACTGTGAATGAGCTCATTGAAGAAGTTTTGATTACTTTTCGGTCCCCCTAATATATTGTATAAATGCGTTTCCGTGTCTTTCCTGTCGGTCGCGATACGTATTGTCGGATTTTGTTTTTTCTTAGCGATAATCGGCATTAATTATTAATCCCGACAAGGGGGCGTAACAATGATGCGATTTAGTTACACCTTCTTTTCAAATTTTGCGGCGCAATTGTAGGATTAAAATTAGGGAAAAAGACCCGGTTTTCTTTTTATATACTGTAAATTAGGAGCCAGGCCGTGGCAGAAGGGATTTACCGTTCCAGTGCGAATTGCTTTATCAATTTTAATTAGATTATATTTTATCTCAGTCGCGGTGCGGGTGCACCTTGTGGTTCAGTTTTCTTCCCCGTAGCTTCGCCAAGGTAGCTTACGACTCGAAACATTGCGGTTGTATATTTTTGTATTATTATTTATCAGCGCGTCTCTAATTTATGTTTCGAACCGTTGTGTACATAGACCGTAGAAATAGAGAGGCAGGGTATTTTACGTTACATTAAGGGGACTCCTACCTATTAACAAAGGGAAAATACCCATTTTTCTGACAGGTACAGAAAATATGAAACAACGTGTAACTGCAGCGTTTTATTAATCATACTTTTAGATGCATGTTATCATTTTACGTAAAGAAAATTGTTTGGAAACTTTAAAGCCATTTAACAAATTACACCATTTATCATGCTTTACCATAAGATACGGCAAAGAGTATCCATTCCGAATAATTCATATTTTGCATACATGATTGAATCTGTGGCTAAGGAAATGATCACCGACAAATATGTAGAAGCGAAATTACTCAAAATTTTGGATATTCGTTATCACTTTTTTGCCAATTTTTGCCATACTTTGCTAAAATGACATTTTCAAATTATCGAATGCTGTCGGAAGAAATGAAAATGGTCATTTCTGAGCATGCACTCGTTATGATTGTTCTTCTAAAGACGGAATACTCTGGAGTGATTCGTTTGTTTGAAAACTTAGGACAAAGGAGGCCGTACGTAAAAGGTACGGTTCATTATAATGTGTCACTCCAACATTTTTTATATATTATAACAAATAATTATATCAGTATATAACTAATATAACAGTATATATCTACACGTGGTTAACTCGTTTGTTACCAGCCGTCACATATATGACACATCGGTAGCGAAAGTGGTAAACTCTGGTAGCGAACGAGTTAAATTGTATTTAAATACGGTGTTTCATTTTTTACCCGTACCTGAATGAAAAATGGGCAATTTTAACACCGTCGATAGGTATGGGCCTCCTTAACGGTCAGATTGTGTACAAGCTTCGAGAATTGTTTTCATGATTACAGCAAGGGGCCTAGTTTAAATAGCCACCGGGTTAGGAGAAGGCCGCGAAATCGACGTCGACGTCGTCGTAGAATAAACTTGTTGCCAATGTGCGATTTCGGTGTCCGTAAAAACTGGGATGGCTAAACTTGCCGCTAATTAATCACATTTAATGCCACGTTTAAGTTGTTAAACGGTTTCTTCCTTTTTTGCAGCATAACACTATGCCTTCCTGTCCCACTTTTACGTACACTACCTAGCTGGTCCAGCAGGATATTTCTCTCTCTACGATTATCACGGAGGTCATACTTGTAGCCGTGAATTTTCGAAATTTCTGCATTTTTTCTTCTTTTTTTTTTTCCTTTCGGACAAACTGGTGAAAATTATGAGTTAATCGTGTCATGTGATATGCAAAGGTCTGCAGAAATTTTCGATAATTCACGGTCGTTCATATTCCGCCGCTTCGTTTTCGGGGCGGAATATGTCGTGATTTCGTTATATATTTAGCTGGAAGGTGTTAGACAAACGTAACGCTTTTGACTAAATTTGTCATGGTGTCATGGTTTTTCTTTTCTTCCCTACCGCGACAGGTTTTGTCGCTTGACTTTTGTTCTCTTACGTTGTCCGCTACCTCAACAGTGTTGTTCTCTTCTGTTAAATTTACAAGTCGCGATACGACCGTTTTCTTTTCAGGTTTCCGCCAAACGCCGCGATTAGCATGCGTAAATTGGAGCGATGTTGTCTACACAGAATACGTACTAGAACAATACTTTTTATGTATTTTACAATCGATACGATGGATCGTGTTAATAGGAATGATGATTTCTTTTAACCTTTTTAATCATTGTGGGCGTCTAATGCCCGGTTCCACAGGCCTCGGTCAAAAAGCTAATCCTCGGTTACAATGAGTTGCACGTTCCCCCCACATTTTAACGGCGGGTTAATATTATTATTAAATTGGAGCGATGTTGTCTACACAGAATACGTACTAGAACAATACTTTATGTATTTTACAATCGATACGATGGATCGTGTTAATGGGAATGATGATTTTTTTTAACCTTTTTAATCATTGTGGGCGTCTAATGCCCGGTTCCACAAACCTCGGTCAAAAAGCTAATCCTCGGTTACAATGAGTTGCACGTTCCCCCACATTTTAACGGCGGGTTAATATTATTATTAAATTGGAGCGATGTTGTCTACACAGAATACGTACTAGAACAATACTTTTTATGTATTTTATAATCGATACGATGGGTCGTGTTAATAGGAATGATGATTTTTTTTAACCTTTTTAATCATTGTGGGCGTCTAATGCCCGGTTCCACAAACCTCGGTCAAAAAGCTAATCCTCGGTTACAATGAATTGCACGTTCCACCACATTTTAACGGCGGGTTAATTTAGATTAACCAGCCAGATTAGATCGTTTAGCTAAAGTTGATCGAAGTTTAACCCAATAACTGCACAAACGTGAGGAAAACATGAATTAGATTGAAGATGTATTAACACCTTCTTGTGACGAAACTGACTAAGACGTTTTTTATTTAATTTACAATTTGTAACTTGCTTTGTAGTCAATTAGAGTGTCAGCCAATCACGCGAACGAGTTCACCACCAACAATGCAACTTACTTCGAATGGTTTATACGATTAGTTAATCGCGATCTAAATAAATTTGGTGGAATATTTACGTTTTTAATCCATGATTAACTTAGACGTTTACTTTAACCTACGGTTAGGCAATCAATGATGTAACCGAGGTGGGTGGAACTGGGCATATAACTTGAAACATAAAAATATGTGGATTGAACGGAGACTGCATTATACTTGCTACGTATTAATATTACAAGTTTGTATAAATTTTGGTACATGTAGGAATCATCCAGTATGAATTAATCTTGACCTTAAGCTCCGTATAAGTATGTGGTAGAAGCATTGTAATTGGTTTTTATAAAATTTCTAGAATCTTTCCTAGCAAGGAGATTATATGAACTTTGTGTCGTTAGGTTTCATTTCAATTTGACACCTGGAGTTTTATCTCGTTATTGTCACAATCAATCAAAAAAAGGTTCAAAGCGTTAAAGTATATTTCGAACCTCTTATGTTCTTCCTCTAAACACATTATTTTATATATTTTTTTTAATGTTATATTATCGGGGAAATGAACGGTAACAATAATTGTACATGTACAATCGACTGTTTCAGTTAGATCACATTTTAATTAATTACCTCGTTAAGAAATGAAAACCGGTATAACATTTTAATAAATTACAATTTCTGTTTCTGCTGAAATTGTACACTAATTGCATCGCTTCTATTATATAAATTTAGCTTAACATTTAGATTGTTTATTACACATTCTTTTGAAATCAATACGTAACAAATATCGAATAGCTTAACGATAGTTGACTCAGGGTTGCTCCTTTTAACCCATTCAAGTGTAAAATTAAAGGCCCTTTGTCATTCGTTTGTACAGTTTATACAATCTATACTGCCAGTATGTAACGTTATATCGTTGATAAAACTTGCTTGCTGTAGTCAACTTCGCTATCGCACTTTGGAAAATCAATAGACCCTGAAGTCGCGACTTGTAAGTGAACGGACAGGTCCGATGTTAACGATTAAGAAATATATAATAACCAGAGTTAGTTATTTTAACAATTCTACAGCAGTACCACGGTAGCTACATATTATATATTGCCATAACAGTGAATCGCTCGTCACTTTCGTGATCATCGTAAGTGGTGAATAGGTCGAAAAAGTTTATAGAAAATTCGCCGAGTGGCGTTTCCAGACTCCGTAGCCGACTTTGGATTTTACTATTAATATTTTATTTTTTATTTCTTTTTTTTTTTCAACGACTGTTATTCGCCAGTAACTTTAAACAATCCGTTCGATGCAGTATTGACGCGGAACACAATTAATAGGATTTCTACGAAGCTTAGTACAAAAGGAACCATCGAACGCACTTCATGCCGAATTATCGTCGTTCAACGACACGATTTTGCGATGTAATTAAATTAGGTTTCGAAAAGGCGAATCCGCGAATTATAATGCCCGACGCGCGTATATAGTTAAGGCGAGTTTCGATTGGCAGATCAGTCGATAGCTGTCTAGTCTCGTGATTAATTTGTACTTTTGAAACTGTCGAAATAAAACCATTTTACAGAAATTAAGGGCGTTTGGTAGTGGATTCATAGAATTAAGGTGAAGTGAAACGCGTCGAGGTACTTGATCGACGCCGATAAAGAAGATTTTTCTAAATGCCTACGTTGCCGACGTTCGTTTTTATATTGACAGCTATGTCGAATTATATTGGATAGTGTACCAAATGGCATACTCCACCTGTCGTTTTCGTACAATAATTATAAAGAAATCGAAGTAAAACTCCAGAAATCCTCTGGATTCATGCTTTCTGGGGCACTAATTGACTGCAGAGGGACCCCCTGCACCATCTGTGATTTCCAGGTCAATTAAATTTTCACTCCGAGACCTCGTATTACCATCCTTTTAGCATAGAAGCGCATACAACACTTTTTTTGCCTTTATCCCGTTCAAATGCGAGTTTATCGATTACCAGAGTGTTCTAAATTGTCGTAAAATTGTCCTGACCCTTTCGATTCTCATATCAGTGCCCTCGACAATTGTATATTGATCGAAATATGAGATCTCGACGCCATTTTGGTTCTGATCTGTTGAGTTTAAAATTAAAAAAAAAAATCCAAATTTTGAATGTGTCGGGACAATTCTTAGCTGATCAGGAGTGATGTGTCAAAATTTCGGACAGTTTGGCCTAATAACCTGAAAAAAAGTGTTGTATTCGAATCGACTAATTTGAAGGGGGTTTCACTTCACCTTAAGATACGTCTGTATTGTTCTGAACAATTCTAGATTTTTGCGTTGTCTGTCAACGGAATTAAATGAGACTTCTATGAGTCTTCATAGACGAAGTGATGCAAAATTTGCATCAAATATGGCTCATAAAAGAGCATGAAACTAGTCATGAGGAGGTGTTGCTTATTAGTCCTCATGTGGAACTGATATCTGCAGGACGCAATGACGATCCAAAAATATTTAAATATGAAACAAATTTAAGTACACGCAAGGTCTCAATGTTTGTACACATATGTACAGCTAAATTTATTTAACGCATTGCCGATAAACAATTGTAGCGTCTGTAGCTCATATTTGAGCCATGGCGTGACAAATTTACCGCAAGTTTTTCTTCAAACGTTTTTCTTCAACTTTATTGCGTAATACGCGTACATATATTGCAGACATTTCATGCAGCAAATGGTCGGTAAATTGTTTCTAAATTGATTTTCCTCGTCATATGATCATGAATTTCTATCTGGGAGCTTTTGTTTAGTGCGAGAATTATGGTGTTTTTCTTTTTCCCTGCAAAACTGCAGGAAGGAAATATAGCTGGATGTTAAGTTATAGGAGCGTTTAACGTTGCGGTCGTTTCATTTTCGAATGTCAATAAGTCAATATCAAGGCGACTGGACAAAACTGGATGGTTCTCTTGAAAGTATTGCACAGTGAAAAGTAAAAGTTCACGGTCTTTGCCGTTTAATTTGGCCGACCTATTCAACCGACACGTAGAGAGATCGGAAATTGAGCTCGATAGGTTTGCGACGTAAATGACGTCGCAGCCGAGGTAAAAGTTGACCAATCCTGCATTAAATTAGAAGTAATGTCCATAGGAATTGTCCTATCGGGACATTGAAAGGTAGGAAGTCTACAGAACGAAAATACAGGCCTACTTTCTACCCAGTTATTTTTCATCTCGACGGAACTTCCCTAGTAGCACAAAATATTTCTCCTATATTTTCTATATATTTATCGAATATCGTACATTTTGTTAATATTTAGCAGACATTTGAAATATTTGCAAAACGTTTACTTTAGAATATTATCTTTATAATATTTATATAATATTAGCTCCACGTGTTTTCATAATATTCTTCTACCAGATATACGAAACATTTCGTTTCATTCTAATACAAGTATTTTTTAATTATTAACTGCCGAATACATTATAAACGTTTTAAATATATTTTAAATCAAAATCATACGTTTTGCTTCCACAATGAAGTAGCGGAACGAAAATATTAGAAAAATTTCTCGTGTTCTTTTATACCAAATGGAGTGTCCGATAATAGTCGTGAAGTGAAAAATGTATTTTTATTATGTTAATAAGTTAAAAAATATAATGTCTCTATATGTTTATAAATTATTGAAACTAAATATGTCTTGAGATTTTCAAGAAATATTTCAAATAGCTTCGAATGAAATCTACAAAAAATCTTAAAAAATCTGTCGCTTGAGATATTTAGCAAAGATTACAAAGAAATATTTAGAAATTGTTCTATGCTACTAGGGTTCTCCGTAACGATGCGGAATCGGGAGGATGTCCTAAAGTGTATTACAATAAATTATATTACAGAGTAATCCCAAGCTATCGATGAGCTTAAAATTTATTATGTACAAGTAAAACCTTTATCCCAGTTTCGTTGTAATTATTCCAATTAAAAATTCTTTTGGCAAAAATACTGTATCTTAAAAATTCCAAATGTTGGTAGGGGCATTTCGAAGTGAAACGTTAATGTTTTACAGCTAATTACAGTTTACATTCGTTTGTGCTTTAATATGATCACAATTTACGTAAGATATTTTCGTGAATATCGGTTAACTTCATTTTCTTGCCTGAAAAGTCAGCAACTGTGCTCCTGACTTGTCAAAGTAGACAATAAAATCGCCACTCATTATTATCGTTATCTCAACTTATTTCTTTCTGCCACTTACTTCCTATTTGCATTGATCTCTGTTTTAGCATGGAAACAATTTACGTTAGCATTCATTCTTTTAGTTAATTATTGACGTTTAAAGTGAAATAAAAATCAAAATAAAACCTATACATAACACCCAAAAAAAACCAGTACCGACCGCGTAAGTATTACGTGACGTAATAATTAAGAATAATGAATAATAATTAAGGTCAAGTGAAATACGTCGAGGAACTTGATCGACGTCGATAAAGAAGATTTTTCTAAATGCCTACATTGCCGATGTTCGTTTTTATATTGACAGCTGGGTCGAATTATATTGGGTATTGTACCAAATGGCATACTCTACCTGTCGTTTTCGTACAATAATTATACAGAAATCGAAGTAAAACTCCAGAAATCCTCTGGATTCGTGCTTTCTGGGGCCCTACTTGACTGCAGAGGGACCCCTGCGCCATCTGTGATTTCCAGGTCAATTAAATTTTCAATCCGAGACCTCGTACCATCCTTTTGGCATAGAAGCGCATTCAACATTTTTTTTGCCTTTATCCCGTTCAAACGCGAGTTTATCGACTACCAGAGTGTTCTAAATTATCGTAAAATTGTCCTGACCCTTTCTATTCTCATATCAGAGCCCTCGATAATTGTATATTGATCGAAATATGAGAGCTCGACGCCATTTTGGTTCTGGTCTGGGCTGAGTTAAAAAATTTTGCTAAAAAATCCAAATTTTGAACATGTCAGGACAATTCTTAGATGATCAAGAGTGATGTGTTAACGTTTCGGACAGTTTGGTCTAATACCCTTAAAAAAAGTGTTGTATTCGAATCGACTCATTTGAAGGGGGTTTCACTTCACCTTAATTTAGATCTTTCACTTTGTTTTGGCCAATGTATTATTTTTATATATGTAATATCTGTAAATATTTAAAAATGGAAATAAACACGGAGCTCTGTTTCCTATATGTAAGAATATCCAAGAGGTCACGATACGGGACTATTTTTTTACAGGTGATCGCCCCACTTCGGTAAATTTCGAGACGAGTAAGAGGATGTCGCCAGACTGGCGAAGGAACTGGACGAGCATCCTCATCTCCACCTGATCTTCACCTGGTACCATCGACCACCACCTGTTACCTCAAATGCTGACCAAGTATAAAAGCGACCTGTGGTCACGCTCTCGTCTAGTCTTCTCGTGATTACCACCGACTGCGAAAGCGACATCGGCGAAGTGAGTGTTCCCTTGCAATTGTACTTAATAATTAGTCGTCGTTAAAAATAAAAAGAAGAGGGGTTCCCTTTTCTTTAGCCTCTCGCAAAGAAAAAGGACTTCGAGAAAAGAGAACCTCCTGAATACCGATTAACGTTTAAAACGATAACTTACTGCATATATAAATGAATGTTGTTGTTCTTATTATTAGTAATTCTTTTATACACGTACTTGGGAAAAACTGAAGACGTTCTTTACTCTTTGTGACTATGATAATTGAAATCAGGTATCCGATAATAAGGATTTAATGGTTTATAGTGGTTTACTTTCGAATAAGACTGAACAGTTTTATATGCTGAAATAAAAAAAGAAACGTATGTCGCTCAATGCGGAAAAAATGATGTACTGAAGAATATATCGATGGTTCTCATAATTTTGATCCGTTGATGTAATTTTGGATCATTCGACGTTTCTTTAGCTTTTACAAGGTTTCTATTATACTTTTCCTACGGAAAGTAGTAAGACATGTTATAAGTGTTTTCTTATTTAATTTGTTGACTTGACGCGACAAAGTGATCGATTTAAGGTGTGTGTAAATAACCCAGATAGAAATTCATGATCATATGATGAGGAAAATCGATTTACAAAATATTTGCCGACCATTTGCTGCATGAAATGTTTGCAATATATGTACGCGTATTACACAATACATTTGAAGAAAAACTTGTCTTTTTATGATATTAGATTTAATACCAAACCTAGTAGCATAGAATAATTTCTAAATATTTCTTTGTAATCTTTGCTAAATATCTCAAGCGACAGATTTTTTAAGATTTCTTGTAGATTTCATTCGAAGATATTTGAAATATTTCTTGAAAATCTCAATGACATATTTAGTTTCAATAATTTATAAACATATAGAGAAATTATATTTTTTAACTTATTAACATAATAAAAATACATTTTTTACTTCACGACTATTATCGGACACTTCATTTGGTATCAAAAAACACGAGAAATTTTTCTAATATTTTCGTTCCGCTATTTCATTATGGGAGCAAAACGTGTGATTTTGATTTTAAATATTTTTAAAACGTTTATAATGTATTCGGCAGATAATATTTAAAAAATACTTGTATTAAAATGAAACGAAATGTTTTGTATATCTGGTAGAAAAATATTATGAAAACACATGGAGCTAATATTATATAAATATTATAGAGATAATATTCTAAAGAAAACGTTTTGCAAATATTTCAAATGTCTAGTAAATATTAACAAAATTTACGGTATTCGTTAAATATATAGAAAATATAGGAGAAATAATTTGTGCTACTAGGGAATAGTCTCCATTTACTGATAATGGTATAAAGCCCTCCTGAAAGTCCATTCTTGTAATTATAAATTGTCCCATTTAATATTGCAAGAGTTTCGCCAGATTTTCGTCCGGCCGAGTGAAAGAAACGAATGTCGACTTCGTGGAAGTCACTGAGAAGTTTCTTTCTCTCCTCTGTGCATTTCCTGGTTGAAGAATGCGATCCACTTCCCTCATTCGGGTGCAATGGGCAATTTCCTTACACGGAAGAACTGTAACGATTAAAAAGTTGGCCTCGCCGAAGCGGCTGTGTTACTCGCCGTTGAGAATACCGATTTTCATACTTTCCCTTCCTTTCTTTCCTATCTTATATGGTCTTCGGTTGAATTTACTACGCCTACGCGCTAATCTCCTCTCCTTACGTACAGTTGCATGAGTTGCATAGAAATTACTGAAGAAAAGTATGCGACGTACGTGTCATCGTCGATCCATTGTCTTACATGCACCTGTCATTAATATTTATAATTGTGTAAACGGAAGAGTTTTATTACGCGAACATGGAGTACACGATATCTTATATCTGTAACTTACTGCAAGGAATCTAATTCAATTTAGGTGGCAGCATAAACGAAGAATTTATGCTCATGAAATTTAATAAAATTGTAAAACTTAAAAGAGTACCCCTGGTAGCACAAAATATTTCTCCTATATTTTCTATATATTTAACGAATATCGTACATTTTGTTAATATTTACCAGACATTTGANTGCCGAATACATTATAAACGCTTCAAAAATACTTAAAATCAAAATCACACGTTTTGCTCCCATAATGAAATAGCGGGAGGAAAATATTAGAAACATTTCTCGTGCTTTTTTTATACCAAATGAAGTGTCCGATAATAGTCGTGAAGTAAAAGAAATGTATTCTTATTACGTGTTCATAAATTAAAAAATATAATTTCAATATATGTTTATAAATTATTGAAACTAAACGTCATTGAGATTTTCAAGAAATATTTCAATTATCTTCGAATGAAATCTACGAGAAATCTTAAAAAAATCCGTCGCTTGAGATATTTAGCAAATATTTAGAAATTGTTGTATGCTACTAGAGGTATATATAAAAAACGCGAAATTTTCATTTTAAATTATCGGCTTCATTTGCTTTTTTAGATATGAGTAGAATATTTCGGTCTTATAGTGCATGTTTACTTGTTGTTAACCCCCCTGATTACATCTCGTGTTTATTAACATTCCTTCTTAACGAAGTCTTACACAAGGTAAAGTGAAATTCTTGGGCACCTGCACGTGAGGTAACTCGATGACTAAAATGACAACACTGATGAGCGGTGACATCCATTAAACAATCTCATGCTTTGAAGTGATAATAAGTGTTTGTACGTGAAAAGCGAATATCTCAGAAAAACTGCTACTTAGAATTTCAAAACAATATTTGCTACATTGCGTCACAATACGTTCTAACGATTTATACTTTGTCAATGAGTACTGAACAATTGTTTGATTAAAATTATTTCGCAACTTGAACTATTGCTTTTCGGTAATAAGGAATATTATGTTAACATTGTTATATATTCAACATCACTCATACTCGTATTACTGAATTACATCGTATTAATAACAATCATTGTATAATAATAATCGCTGTTTAATTAATGCATTCGATTACGTACATTCGAAAATAATAATACTTTAACTTTTCAACATCATTCGTACTCGCATTACTGAGTTACATCATATTGATAACAATCATTGTATTATAATAATAATAATAGCGGTTTAGTTAACACATTCGGTTACGTATATTAAATAATAATAACACTTTGATTTTTCAACATTGTCCCATTTTTTTATTTCCTACATAGTTGAATTAAATATTTTACATTCCTTCGGTCGTCCGAATTAAGTTGAAGTGGAACACGTCGAGGAACTTGATCGACGTCGATAAAGAAGATTCTTCTAAATGCCTACGGTGCCGACGTTTGTTTTTATATTGACAGCTGTGTCGAATTATATTGGGTACTGTACCAAATGGCATACTCCACCTGTCGTTTTCGTGCAATAATTATAAAGAAATCGAAGTGAAACTCCAGAAATCCTCTGGATTCATGCTTTCTGGGGCCCTAATTATACTGCAGAGGGACCCCCTGCGCCATCTGTGATTTCCAGGTCAATTAAATTTTCACTCCGAGACCTCTTATTACCATCCTTTTAGCATAGAAGCGTATACAACACGTTTTTTGCCTTTATCCCGCTCAAACGCGAGTTTATAGACTACCAGAGTGTTCTAAATTGTCGTAAAATTGTCCTGACCCTTTCGATTCTCATATCAGAGCCCTCGATAATTGTATATTGATCGAAATATGAGAGCTCGACGCCATTTTGGTTCTGCTCTGAGCTGAGTTAAAAAAATCTTTTTAAAAATCCAATTCACTTTAAAATTCTTAAATTTGCAAGCTCGAGGATCTCTTGCATACTTTATCATTTCTTATGTTTGGATTGACATTGTTTACTATTATTGTGAACGGTATTTGATGGGATCCCTAACTTTAGTTGAAATAACGTGCTTAATTTCGTACGTTCATGCGTTTAACTGCACTTTATTCCTTGCCGTGTCCTCGACTCTCACATTACTTAAGGAAGGGGGAAAGTATGTTCATCCCAATCATCAGAGATTGCCGGAGACTTTCAAGTCGATTTCTTGCCTGGAACTAACGGGAATCCAAAGGGTCACTTCCCCTTTTTTAGTTCCAACGACCTGTTCGAGGTTTGTGATGCCCTGGTACTTTCTAAAGCATCATTACTTCGTTTCTAAGTATTGAGAAATCCAAATCTCACCGAAAACTGATTANACTAGATATTAATAATTATCTTTAATTATTCATTTACAAAATATCCTAACGCGCTTTCACGTTTCGCGTTTAGGACAATTTTACGACAATTTAGAACACTCTGGTAGTCAATAAACTCGCGTTTGAACGGGATAAAGGTAAAAAAAATGTTGTGTGCGCTTCTATGCTAAAACGATGGTAATACGAGGTCTCGGAGTGAAAATTTAATTGACCTGGAAATCACAGATGGCGCAGCGCGTCCCTCTGCAGTCAATTAGGGCCCCAGAAAGCACGAATCCAGAGGATTTCTGGAGTTTTACTTCGATTTCTTTATAATTATTATACGAAAACGACAGGTGGAGTATGCCATTTGGTACAATACCCAAAATAATTCGACACAGCTGTCTATATAAAAACGAACGTCGGCATCGTAGGCATTTAGAAAAATCTTCTTTATCGACGTAGATCAAGTTCCTCGACGTGTTTCACTTCACCTTAAGTATTCGGAATGAGATTACCACGAAAAAGGGTATAGATGAATTTTATTATATCGACGTCGATTAAATTTCTCAGCGCCTTTGATATCATCTTAAAGTCACAAAGCGCCGTGAGGGCTAAAAAGTATATTAACATATTTAAACCCCCTTTTACGCTCTTTACAGATGGACGGTCGCACGCTAGCGATGATAGCGCTGCTCGTAGGAATCGCCGCTGCACTTCCGGCCCCGCAAAAAGATGGCCAGGTCTTCAGCAACGAGGCGATTAGACAGGCTCAAAACACGTATTTGATCCCAAAGGACGCGACTATCCAGAAGGTCCAGGAAGGCATCGAGCTGGCAGCCTACGAATCCATTCCCGGCGACCAAAGGATCAACCTTTTCGAGATCCTCGGAGAACACGTGCCTCCGGAAGTGGTGAACAATCTCCAGAGTCAGATCGACCAAATCGGCAAAAATTAGACGAGGCCTCGATTATCGACCATTACTTCCTCCCGAAGCCATTCGTCGATCGAATCCTCGCTCGACACCTGGTTGTACATGTAGAAATATTTATTACCGAACATCGGGCTGACCGTCTCGAGAAATTACCTATGTGATCTTTCCACTTTCGTAAATAAATCAGAAGTGAAATCTCCGTTCCTTGTGCGTGCGGTAGTTCCTCGACACAGTCCCTGTGGACAGGACGTAATACAATTAATGGGACCCTCGGTAGCGTTTGGCGCCAAATACATGAAAAAGACTGCGGGAATTAGAGTTACCTTATAAAGTATCGAAGGTAACAAGATACGTCAAAATCTGAGAGTCTTAGCTACCCGTAGCAAAGGATTCAGAAGTCCCATAGAAGCCCAGATCCTATGTTAGCGCTTGATGGTCTAAAAGTTGGCTAACAACCCAGAAGTGGGGGTAAAAGAGAGATCGTATGTGTTAGCCAACGATATCTCACATACGAGAGGAAGAGAGACGCATATAGAAAGGCGAGTATTGAGGGTAAGATAAAGAAAAAATGCAATTTGCTATATATTGCCATAATATTAAGAAAGATGGAGAGATGACTACAGCGCCGCCATCCGTTGGCTAACGTACTATTTATCCAGCATCGAACGTCCGTATCCTTCTGGGCTTCTATGGAGACTTCTGAATTCTTTACCTGTAGATGAATTTTCATGATTTTCTTTCAAAATACTTCAAAAAGTTCGTTCCATGGGTAGTGCGACCGAATCGTTTCCATTCGGATTAGAGAAGGAAACGTATCCGATTAACCTGCTTCTTGACAGAGTCAGGTGTAATTACGTTTCCTTAAACAGAACTGGATTTAATCTTTCGGCAAGTCAGGATTTATGTCTAAAATAGAAGCAGTGAGTGGACGTGTATCTCGCTCGTTACGTGCAGCGAACATCCTTAAATAGTAATGATTAATTAAAGGACTAGTAATAAATTGTTAACGGCTCTACCAGAGGATAAACAGATATCGACATACAATAGCGATGTATGTACGACAGATGGACGTTCGCGGAAACGTTATACAATGACAATTGCCCTCAAATGACAATGACAATCAATTTATCAAAGAAAATTTAGAGGAAACGTTTAAGATATCCAGATCATCGAATGGTTTCCTGTATGGACGTTAAAGATGCTTTAGATTTTCTTTTGCTGCCTCGGGCCGTGCCCGAATTCCATGCCAGGTCCAGAAGAACTTCGTGACAGGGATATTCTAAGATGGGAAAAGAGAAACGCACGAATCCCCGATTCAGTTCGAATGTAGCGCGCGCATCGAATACCAAATTGATGATACGTCATCGGAGCTTGTTCGTGAAATCGAGAAGTTACACTTTGTCCCTGTATCATCGCCCGCCTTAAAAGATTATGCATGCAGCCAAAGACCCGCTCGGAGAAAGTTGCGGAACAGCTCGGGGCTCCTTACTTTCACTTCTCATAGATTTGCGTTTATTAAGCAACTCGTCTTCGCCGCCGCGCTCTTTCCGAGACCTTCGGTCAATTATCTCTTTCCGAAGACTTAGCTAGACGACTAGCGTCTCTAAGTCTATTGCCAGGAGACCATATCGCGTGCCATATAATTTGCAGACCAGAAGAATAAACATTGTTTAAGGTGAAGTGAAACACGTCGAGGAACTTGATCGACGTCGATAAAAAAGATTTTTCTAAATGCCTACGTTGCCGACGTTCGTTTTTATATTGACAGCTGTGTCGAATTATATTGGGTACTGTACCAAATGGCATACTCCACCTGTCGTTTTCGTACAATAATTATAAAGAAATCGAAGTAAAACTCCAGAAATCCTCTGGATTCATGCTCTCTGGGGCCCTAATTGACTGCAGAGGGACCCCCTGCGCCATTTGTGATTTCCAGGTCAATTAAATTTTCACTCCGAGACCTCGTGTTACCATCGTTTTAGCATAGAAGCGCACACAACATTTTTTTTACCTTTATCCCGTTCAAATGCGAGTTTATCGACTACCAGAGGGTTCTAAATTGTCGTAAAATTGTCCTGATCCTTTCGATTCTCATATCAGAGCCCTCGATAATTGTATATTGATTGAAATATGTGAGCTCGACGCCATTTTGGTTTTGGTCTGGGCTGAGTTAAACAATTTAAAAAAAAAATCCAAATTTTGAATGTGTCAGGACAATTTTTAGATGATCAGGAGTGACGTGGCAAAGTTTCGGACAGTTTGGTCTAATACCCTTAAAACAAAAATTTATTCGAATCGACTGATTTGAAGGGGGTTTCACTTCACCTTAAATAATTTTAACACGCAACTGTATCATTGGGCTCTTGAAATTACGTTACTTATTAACAAAAAATAAATGGTACTTCGAATACCTATATTGCAGTATTATTGTACTTGAGGCGCGAGAAAATTTACGTGTTCTACTCAAAGTAATGTACCGTCCCAACGTAACGAGGTAACCGTATTTAATCGTCTCGATAAAAGAAAATTTTTCTTACGAGGATGTATGGATGGAAATGTTATGGAAAAAAGCGAACATGGTAAGACAAAGGTATATATTTCCGTATCAAAGGGAACTGACTCAACGAGAAGACGTTTCACGGGTGTACGGTATTTTGAGGTCTCGATTTATTTAATAAAAACAGGTAATCTCGCTCGTTAACGTTGCTTACAGCACATTTTTTTTTTCTTTTGGAAATATAAAAACCATGACGGATATTTGTACAGTAGTGATAAATAACTTAAGAATTATTTCACATTCGGTAATGAGGTATCAACGAAATTACCAAGGATCCTCGAACGCCCGTGGATGGTATTATTTGTACACGGTAAATAATTGGAGGCAGAACATCTTCTTGCACAAAGATTATCACGAGAACATGGTTTACCATTTCTTCCACAAGATACCTTCTTTTTAGCTTTGGTCCTTCTTAAACGGTACCATTGATGGTATTTTCACTTCTATAAGCACGTTCAATCAATCAATCCATGTGAAATAAAGGCATTTCACAATATGACATGTTATTTATTTCAATTACAAAAATTGGACAATTCATGTCACCTTCGGTGGTAGGTGATTTCTTTTATTTTTTATCAAAAATATCTCACAAATAACTAAATCGTAAGTTTCAATGTAACATGTAATTAACGGAACAATATAGCTACGACTGTTTAATCTTAATGCGAAAATACCATCATTGGAAATCCTAAAAAGTGAGTCTAATAAGAACTTATGGAACGTAAGAATAAACCGTTGATTAAGCCAAATTTGCATTTCACTTATGGGTATAAGCGAGGCATCGGAATTTGATTTTCGTATTCACAGCGGGGAAACAGAGATAACAGGGCTCCCTATATGTCAAGCTCGCTGAATTAATCTGTCGTCAATGCAAGAAAATGTGCAACCTTCGTGGTCTATTTCTAGCGTACAAAGTAAGAAAGTTTGCACAAATCGCATTTATATACCACATAAGTATTTATGCTTCCACTCTAGCACTCAATGTTCAATGCTTCCTTTCGATCACACTTACTTCCTGCAATAAAAGAAATATAATTATGGTATCATCACTTATGGCACCGGTATTAACATCACTGTTAATAATATGGTAAATTCCTTAATCTCTGCAGACGTTTAATGAAAAAGTAAATAATGGAACGATACAGTATCTTATCATGATGGTTTCATTTTTATAATATTTAAAGGTACAACAGTTAATAGTTCTGTGAGTTAGGCATAATTAAATTTTCTGTACAACGATGTCATATTGCTGAATTACAATAAAGGATCGTTTAAATACAGAGCAGACGTTAAATCGATTTCTTTCTAGTCTCACGGTAATTTAATTCAGCCGCAAAAATCAAGAAAAGAATGCAGAGCAGAGTATTAATAATTATTATTTCTGCAGACATAGTAGTTTAGTAAACTATCGAAATAATGAGCTAATTATTTACCTGGATTTCTTGGAGGATCTCTCAGAACTATCTTCGCGCGAGCGTTTCTTGCTACTAGACGAGGAGTGTGACGATTTGTGCTTGTCGTGCCTATCGTGTTTGTCGTGTCTGTCGGACTTTTTGGGACTGTAACAATAAAAAACAGAAAAAACAGATATTATTAAATGTTCCAAAGCATGCAATTGCCGCCGGTAATCACCTGTGTTTGGACGATTTGGAAGGAGACACTTTCTTGTGTGAACCCCCACTCCGCGATCGATCCGATCTTTAATTATCGATGCATTAATATTTGCATTTATATTCACGAAATATTAATATATGTATATCTATCCTCAATATGTATATGCATTTCATTTTCCGTTCTGATATGAACGAAACTACAGATTTACCTTGGATGGACGAAACCAATTTTTTATAATAATACTCTGAATGATCTTACCTATGTTTGTCCGATGATTTCCTATCTTTTCCGCTAGATGAATGTTTGCTCTTTGAACTTGAATTCTTGTGCTTGGAATTGTGCCTTGAAAGTATGAAGAGAAATTGGTTAATTCCAATTTAATAGAAGGAAGTTAATTTACAAAGGTTCGTATTCACAGGCAGGTAAAACTTGCGAAAGTTGATCTCAGACATTTATTGCCGATAACGTATACGATTTTAGAAGCGAACTTGTGTGACAAATCATTGCCAGATAGTTAAGAAACTCGTGAATGCGCTTACTTTAGAAGGCTGCTCAAGACAATTTCAGTTAGGTCCAGACATTTTTGCTTCAAATTTCAGATGTCTGGATTTGTGTGTAATTCATAAGATGAAAGAATGAAATAGTTAAAGCAGAGAAGACGTCTATCCTCTGATAATGAGAAATGTGTTACTTGTTCCGGGATTTCCATTATTAATCCTTTTAACAGCGTTTTCTCAAACCATTCTACATCTAATCCATATTTTTCTCGTATCATTTCAAGTCCTTTGTTTTTTATTGTTTTATTATAATTACAGCAGCAGTAACTACCGTTTCATTAGATGACATTATAAATACCAAATATCTCGTGCTCAAGTAAAATTGCCGCAAGTTTATGGCTAGAGTGTAGATGCCAAAGCAAATTACTTTAGCTAGTCGTCTTTCAGGTCCTTGCTACAGAGACTTGAGCCAATAAATTTGCTCTGAATTTGTTGGAAGTGTATACGTAACAGCAAGTTGCTCTAGCAAGACATGTCGCAAGTTACTTGCCCGGGGACACGAGCCTTGAAACTTGGTTGAAAAGATCGTTGATCTTTTGAATTAACTTACCTGTCTTTTGATGGAGATGGGGATTGTCTTCTACTAGACTTCTTCTTTTTACTTGAATTATAATCATCCTGGAAGCGATCATCTGCTCTCTCTTTGTCCTCTTCTGCTGCTTCCCTCTCTAGGTCTGACCAATCCTTCCCAGACTCTTCAGAACTACCTAACTCTTCTTCTAGACAAAGTTATGGTTTATAGTACTCCTTCTTTTTTATCAGGTGAGTAAAACTAGGATACATTCAGAGTTTATGCAATCGACATAATTGAAATTATAGGTATAAATTTGATGATAATATTTCAATCGATACGCTTAGTATTTAATTTGTCATTTACCTTCGCTATCAGAGTCTTCCGAAGCTTCCGAATATTCCGAATCATCGTCAGACTCTTCTTCGCTCTCCATGTCCGATGGCTGCATACAAACGTAAGCTTAGTAATTTTCATGGTGAATTAATTAGAAGAGTAAAGAACATTTTTAAATTGCCCTGTGATATGAAATGTCTTAGTTGCATGCTTAGCTTCTCACTTCGTAAGCATCGTCCTCTTCTTCTTCTTCATCTTCAACTTCCTCATTTTCGGCATCACTCTCAGGATCAAGGAAAGTCCAGCCACCACTGTCAAAAAATCCTTCTGGATCATCCGTGATGGTTTTCATAATTTTCGTCCAATTCAATGACTGTACGCCCTCGGAATACCGGATATCACACGAGCTGTAATAAACGTGGAAGTGTTATTATCAAAGATAGAAAAAAATGTTACATAAACAGTATTTCTAATGAAGTAAATTCGAATGGTCAATACATACTTCAACCACTCCTTAACATGATCCAGCATGTTCATGGGAATAGCGTTGACCATAGCAACTTTCCTGTGGTAATCCTTGAAGACAAATATCATATCGAAGTTCTTCAAATGAAACTGTACTCTTTCAAAGTGTACAAGTTCAACATCTTCTAACGTGATCACAAATGGAGGCTGAAATCAAGAATCAAGAAATTCATATCTTTTCACTTTAATAGGTGTAGTTGAATTATCGCAATGGTTACTGGTACAACGTATGGAAATCAGATTTATATTTTTCTGATTTTACTTCAATATCGTTCGTGATGTTTGCAATGATATTTAAAATTTGAAATTGGTATCTTTTCAACGGCAAATATTTTGGGTTAATGACACGCGAGTAATCTGAGGATAGTAAATAAATGTATAATATATTTACCCATTCGGTAAGATTAACCAAACAACCGCTGGTAGGCTGCAAAAGGACGGTGCTCCTGTAAGGTGCACCAGGGAATCCTAACTCTCTAAAAGGCGTATCAAATTCGATCTCTTGCTTGGTCATCCCCTCAACCTTACATAGAGAAAATTAACGATATTAGTGTATGGTTAAATATTGTAATATGCAATGCTTTTATTAGGCATCCTGTAACTATGAACTCCTCATTAGCCTTCTGCTATTACCTTCTCACAAAAGCTTTTAAAGGCAGTTTTCAGTTTGTGCCTCAGTTCTCTTTCCGATTGCTCAGCTGCAAGATCATCACGGTCGTGCATGTGCTGATGCTTTCCGAGATCTGTTGTAATCTCTCCTACTTCCGTATAAAACTGTACATCTACATGTTTCTTTTTACCAAACATGATGGCATGCTAGGAATAATAATACAATACAAGAATAAAATATCTCATCAAAAGTATTACATTCTTTGTAGATAGAGATTATTGCTTAACCCTTTGATTGCTAATGGCGTATATACACATCCAACATTTGGTCCACTATTGCCTGCACGTAGTCACGAATTTCGCCCATACGTCAAAAGGGCTTAGCAGTCAGAGGGTTAAAATATTTCATTTTAATGTATTTACTCACCTTTAGGTGAAAATGAAGAAGTATTATCATTTCCCCATCACAAGGCTGGAAGAAGGCGTTTTTGATATTGTTATAAAGTATATCGACTTTGTCACCTCTGACCGAAGTGTAACGGAAGCCATTGCTATGAGCTTCTAATCCTCCAGTCATTCTTTTAGTGACAATGTTCGGTCGAATATAAAGGTCTTTTAGTTTCGGATTTCCTTTGTTCTGGGAGAGTACTAATGTGTCTTGTTTCACCAAGTCTTCCTTTTCCCTTTCCTCGGCTTCACGATTCTTAAACTTCTTTTGAACTTCCTTAATGAGTCTGAAGGCGGTGTTGAGATTTGACGACGGTGCAGATATCTCGCCAGGCTCTTTGGTGTTTGTACTCCGATAAGTTCTAAGAGAGTTTAGGTGTTAGATGTTATTATTTGAAATAATACTAACTCAAGTATTACCCTTTTTAAAAAATCGAAACGAAGAAATAATGATATACTAACACTTCTTTAACAAATGTGGCATCGGGTTGCGGATAAGTCCCACCTTCGTTTCGTCCCATTGTTGCTCCGGGGTGGAAGAAGTTTATCCTGAGATACGTATAGTCTCCTTCTACGGACTGGGAAATATTCTTGATTGTAGATATGTGAAACGGTACGGGTATACCAAAAATTGGCAGGATAACCGTCTCATACTTCTTATCTGAAAAGTAATTTGAGTAACTTTAAACTAGAAAGAACAATTTGTACTTTGAAAAATTCCGGCTTATATTAATCAAGTGCTAGGTACAAAATATAGATGCATCTTGTAATGATTAAAAATATGTACTTACCAACATATAGTTTCAATTCTTTAACTTCTGGTTCTCGTGGCATATGATTGAGGCTTTTGTATGATACAGTTGATTTTCGTATTTTCTCCTGTTCTTTGCCACCGGATTGTTGCGCCAGTCGAGCTTTCGCTATTTCGTTTAATTGTTGGGCGAGTTCTTTTTGATGTTGTTTTCTTTTTTCTTCAGAGCTGTGCTCTGTTCTTAACTTTGATTCAATTACCGCAGTTCTCTTTCCTCTGCCTAAAATTTCAGGTTTTGGCTCATTTTCTTTTCCGCTACCTTCTTCCTCTTCCTCTTCGTCGTCTTTTAAGAATATCCCAATATTTTTTATCTTTTTCTTTGAAGGTGTTAACACGGTCGCTGGTTGACCCTGAAGTATGAAATAAAATAAAGTTAAAAAATATGTAAACATATATCTTATATCTGTACTACTTAAACGCAACAATGGGACTTTACACTTTACCTCATTGACCATGACGGTGTCTCCAACGAAGAGGGCATAAATCTTCCCTTCTTTATCGGTAGCATCTGGATTGGTAAGACTGGAAAGGCCAACATTGACGCTAAATACCATTCCTTTTTTGATCGGAACATGAGTCTTTGGAGCTATTAGCAATGAACTTTCTCTAAATTCGATACCCATTGCGAAACCAAAACTTTTAGTCAAGTGATCCAACATATTTGGCTTTTCCGATTTAACGAACTTAACGCCAGTGTCGTAAACTTCGCTTATTTTCGTGCCAGCCACCATTTTCTTTAAAATTTCTTCTTCAAGTTGCAACAGAAAATTGTAATTTTCCTAAAATTCATTTTTTTCTTTTAGAAATTCTTGTAATTCTTAAAGTTGAATGTATGATATCGATACCAATCGTCTTTCATGTAACATTTCTAAATTAAATACCTCAATCGTTTTTGTAGGGTTGACAAGTAATGTACGAACGATGTTAGAACAATATGACTTGTAGCGTGCTCCAAGGGAGCAAATAATTACACCAAAGTGCAAAATGTTTTTATCGCTCACAACACTGAATTTTAAAGAATAATTGCCACCACTTTGGATGATCGCTGGATAACACATATCCACTTGCGTAACATCAACTCCTGTGACAAATTTCTTATTGGATATAGCGGTATCGACTCCTTCTGCTAACTTTGAGTGTTTCACTTTCTGCAAATTATAATTAATAAAAAATAAGAATCCAGTAATTCTTATTGATGTATACATAATAAAGGAAACATTTATATACTTTATCCGAGTCAATGATTTCCATTATTTGATCCTTCAGATATTTTGTAAAAACATCCGTGGATACCAAGCACGCCTTTTTTATTGTAATGATTTCAGCATCTTCTTTTGGACACATGACATATGCTGCTGCGGCGCTCACATCAACCTGTAGTGTAATCATGTTTGTTTTACATATGTCCGGAAGGGTTAAAGAAAATGTAATTTTTCAAAATATATTACCGTATCAAATGATTCTGCTTTCAAGGCAGCTCTCCATGCATCCATAAAGGCACCAGGGTAATTTTCTTTCGAGAACACTCCTAAGGTTTTACCCTTCTTACTGTTCTTTACGACCTCGATTAGCTTTGCGAAATTAGCTTTATCTTCATCGCTCTTTAACATTACAAATATAACATAAGTTACTTAATTTCTTAATTATTCAAATAAGATTTATTAACACGAACAAAATTGTACTTACTCTGTCTCTCATAAGTAATTTTACGGGGGGTACTCCTGTATCTTCAGTCTTTTGATTTTCAACCTTTCTTAGAAATTCAATCTTCTTTTTACTTGCCAGGAAGTTAATGGAATTTTCACCAAGTATCATGATAGTATCCGTAAGTTCATAACTTAACAACCAAGTCTAAAAAAACCATCATACATTCTATCGTTATAAATATAAATACTATATGAATTAAAAGTATCGATAAACTATTTTACTCTGTGATAATAAATTTCTAAGATCTTGCGAATACCAAATATTACTCTATAATAAAATGCTCAATGACAGCTTTTCAATAAAGCACCGCTAATAAATTACAAATGGTTGCTGGTAAATTTACAGGTCTTAGAAAGCATACATGAATGTGTTAACGCTATTAAGATCAATCTACGCATTATGTATTATAAAAAAATGTTGGCATCTGTTGTAAGTAAGGTTAACACATTCACCGCTATCTAACGTTACTCCATAAGATGGTAATATTATGGATCAATCTACGCATTATGTATTATAAAAAGCTGGCATCTGTTATAAGTAAGGTTAACACATTCACCGCTATCTAATGTTACTCCATAATATGGTAATATTAACTTTGCTCTTTACCATGCATTACTCAAAACAATTTAGTAAAGACAACTAGGTAATAATTGTATGAAAAAAGGAGAGTAACCTGAAGAGCGATGGATTTGCTATATACAATGTCCTCATCAGTGCCGACAGCAGATACTAGACAATCCATTTTATTAAAACTGTCATCCATTCCTGCTTCTCCATCCTGTCAAAAGGAAAGCTCAAAAGTTAACCTCGAATTGAATGTCATTTGGAAATAAACGGAGATTAATAGAAACTTTCTGACTAACCTTCCATGCCGCATACAACCGTTTCATGCGGCGGAAAAACGTGTCTTTATCGAGAGAAACGTTTGCCATGGTTCGGTGTGTTTAGGTTGTTAAATAAAGAGACGCGAATGTCGGTCTTGGATTCTGATAAAACTGTGAATTGTCCCCAGCAGTTTCGTTGACTCGAAAGGTATTATTCGCAAATAACTCGGAAGAACTCTACATTTTCTTTGTTTTCAACCATTAAAACGCGAAATACGTTCATAAACCACCTTCCAGAGCGGATATGGCGGGATTCGTAACCAAACGGTAAGCGGCACAAAACCAAGTAATATAAAGGAAGGAAAAGCATTTCCCGAAAATCTTTAGCATTTGTGGCGTCACCTGGGAGCCTGTTACGTAAAATTAAATTCTCAGTCTACGTAACATAACATAATGGAACGAAGAACGTAGCTGAATATTATTGGCTTACATATTCGCTATACAAATCCAACGATTCGATGAAATCGCAATTATTGAGCGACAGCTCTCCTATGGGTCTTCATTCACGCCAATGAACTAAGTACACATTAAAGTACATTTTATTTCCATGTTCCAGGCTTATCAGTCGAAAAAGGTATATATATGTCAAAAACAGTTTTCTTTCCGTAGATAAAGATAAAATCAATAGAAATTCATTTAATTACTAATTTTCCGCATTCAATTAAACATTTTTTTTGTCTTTGTTAGCTTTTAATGTATCACTTTAAAAGTTAATGGTTCTTTCTGGTTTAATTTGTATACCGTAGACAAATTTTGATTGGACGTTTAATGTTGCATTTTATTCAATGTTTATTATTTATTCTTTATTATCTAATTCTTTATAAATAATGTGTGTGAATTCGTGAATTCTTTATAAATAATTTTATATCGGATTATAGCATTTTTAAACACCCCGTATATGGCGCGATTAGACTGGAGTCACATTATTAAGAAACTCGGTAGAGTTTCGCGCCAAATATATATATAGAAGCGCGAAACTCATTAGATATGCCGTGTGTCATACAGAGCGCGGAGCGTCAACGCGTCAAGGATAAAGAACCAATCAAAATTGTGACGGAAGTGACGCATGGAATTAACCGCAGTTTTGATTGGTTGACGTATTGCCGCGTCGAGTTCTGTGTGAACATGACGGATTCTTTGACTACCCAACTCTAGTTAACTAGAGTTTAACTTATTTACACCCGGTTGAAATCTGCTATAAACTAATTAAACGCCGCTTAAGTCAAGTTGTGGATCTGAGCCTTAGGTCTTAGGCCCGGTTTTATAACTCGAGTCAATTGAAATTTAATTTGTTTAAACTTGGTTTAAACCTAGCTGTAAACAAGTTAAACTTCGATTAAGTGAAGTTATGGAGCCGAGTCTAAAGTCTTCCCTTAAAACATTTACACATCTACCTCGCATTAGTTTTATAACTACTGATTATAACTACTAGTATTAATTATCGTATGAACTCTGTTTAAATCCAGTTTTATGGGTAAGACCGGTGTAAAACGACGTTTATACGGCGCTTAATATCAATAGTTATAAAATCGGTGTAAGGTAGCTGGTGGAAATGTACTCAATGTGTATATAACTCGCGTAATTTTGTATAGAGGGCAGCATGACATCATATTCTCTCATCCTGGCTAGCGTGCAATCTTTTGATTTGTTTCATAAGTGGTTTTGATGATAAGACTGGCATGTGAAGATCAGATGCCTGGCGGGTAATGTGAGTTCGTTTCCGTTTGATAGTGCAACTGGTCGGTGTCAAATATCTGCGACGGTTATTGTTCGTTCTTGCTGTTTTCAAGTTGCACGACCTGTTTAGACTGCCAGTATTTTCGTATTAAAAAAGCAAGGGCTCTAACGCGAAGAAAGGAACAATGCCGAAGAAACAATCGAGGAATTCGTTTTACTACTTTATGCTGGATTTTAAGGCCCGAGAGGAGAAGAAAGGACGTCAATTTCCAAATGGCTTAAAAGACGTGCAGCAAGATTCAAAATGTAGCCAGGAGTGGCAGGTATAACGCGAAAAATGCTTGATGAATTCATATCGTTAGCGAATTTCGTACCGGCATTTAGTCTGTTGAGTGCCGATTCTACTCTTCCTTTGTTTCTTTTACCTATATTTTGTTTACCTTGTTTCTATTCACTTTGACCCGGTCGCAAGAAAGTTAATACATAAACGAGTATCTTGATTAAAGCTGGATTTCACATCGTGAACAACTTAATCCTTGGTTATAATGATTTGTGTTTACCTTAATATACCCTTGGATAATCAACGTTTTAACTGATATTGGTGGAACCGACCATGAACATATTACTCTGAAATAAAAACAGGAGCTCCCGTTCGGGGGATCAGTTTTCCTTAGATTTAACAAAATTTCTAATTGTCGCTTAAGGATACTGTTTTACTCACCTTCAAATTAATTAGGAATCTAAGTTGATTACTATTATTATTATGATTCTCAGTATAGGTCCACTCGTTTGCATAGAATTAGTTGGATGAATTATAAACACAAGTATTAGTTAATTGATCGTAGCAATAAACTACTGTTATTGAAGAGAATATTTATTATTTTAAATAAAAACACCTGTTGAATTATTTTATAGTACACAATTTAAGCGGATATTATACGTTTAAATAGAAGTCATATATCCATGGAATTAATAGGTGATATCTTTGTAACTGTATCGCTATTGTGGCTCTACATATTGTTTAATATTTATATGAAATACCTGTAGTCTTTGGGACTTAAACGTAGGATGGAGTAATGTCTCTTGCATTTGATGGCTATGGCTACTTCTGGATTAGGCATGTAGTCATAGATTGTATTACGATGCAAATGGTTAGAGAAGATTGTTTACGCATCGTTAGCCCTGCCTTGAAAAAAACTAAGTGCAATGTTTACAAAATGTCAGCTTACTTGCATGCTGGTCCTTACCTAAGAGTTATAGTAATATCAGACTCAAGTATTTAATTTAATTTCGTTTCTTTGCATGTTTGTACATGATATTTCACCTTGTATACATACTTTTTAATAGTAAAAATGAACAACAGTTTAACCAATAGGAATAAACTAAATGGCAACATCTGAACTTGTCTTGTATATGTTGACATCTATGGATGAAATGAAATGATAGTGGGGGAATACCTAAATTTGTTTTAAAATTAAGACTTTAGAGTGGATTATTCAATCAGTCACGGTAGAAATCGATACAGTACATATGTATTTTACCCCCACTTTAAAGCAGGGAGATCTCCCCATTCGGTCAGCTAAGTGTTAAAATAAACTGTGAAAGAAAAGTGATAAATGATGTAAAATCGATTTTATATATATATATATATATATTGTAGAAAAGTAGTGAAATTAGTACAGGAAAAGTTAGAAAATAAAATTTATGGCATAACTTTAACCAAAAATGTAAAAGTGGTCATTTGGTAGTTTCAGTGTTAGTGACCAGTATTTGTAATTGAATCTCAGCTAGGTCTGAGCTTGAGCAGAAAAGAGTTAATTCTCAATTAATAGCTCATGTTATTCATATAAGTTAGAACTTATCTACAGATTCGTGATCGTGGTTGTTGCAGTCAATGACACCTCAAGAGAAACGTGTTTATGAAATGAGATCTAAAGATTCCAAAATTCGCGATAGAGGAAAACAGGGCAGGTTGACATGCACGGGTGAATCTTTAGATTTCGTGGAACAAGAAGCAAAGAAAGCTCAGGAATTTGAGGAAAATATGAACGATTTCATAAAGAATACCATCAGTTTGGCGGTACAACACGAGAGTACGTTATTTTTCATGTTCTAATAAAATGAGTTGAATGTTGAATTGATTTAAAAGCAAACTTTGGAGCTATGGAGATTATATGAAAAGTAACATTTCTATATCTTCGTGTATTACTTTACTATGCTTTACCAGGGCCTCAGGATTCTGCACGAGAGCTGACCAAAGTATCCAAGTAATGCAAAAATTGAAGTTAATACATTAAAATCTGTGTGAATCTTTTTGATATATACCATATATTTTTACTTATTTTATTCTATTAATTCTATTTAATATAGAAATATCAGTAATCTGTTTGACAATTCTCCCGGATCATTAGAAATGTGTACTCTTCGACTGAATTAGTAAATTTTATTTTAATGGAAATTTGACATTAATTTTTATTTTATTTCCCTTTTTAGATTTAGCTTCTACGAAATTCTATTTTATCCATGTGAACTACTTTATCCGAAGACCTATTGAAAACAATCGACATGATCATTATCCCGCGGAATTTGCGGTGGGAGAATTTTCTTTAGAAAATGGTATGGCAAATATATATCATGAAACTATTCATATGAAGGCACCGTTAGGATATACCAGAGAGGCATTAGAAACGATTCAAGAGACACATCGTATACCACTCGAGTTAGAAGGCGGTGAAAAGGATTTCTATGCGATGTACCAGAAGCTGATAGATTTCCTTAAATCTGACACGAATAACAGCAATGGGAAATTACCTCCATTGTATACAATGAAGAATAATTCTGCAGCAGTTCCTGATTTGTTGAGAAGATTGGCTCGTGCAGCCGGTGAGTAGACAAATTTTTGTCATGTGGTGTACGCATACATAGTTAAATTAGAAAACATCACAAATTTTCAATTTCGGTTTTAAGTGATATATTTGACTGGAGTTAATAGCAAGTACTAATTTTATTTACAATATTTTGCAGAAGAGGAGGATGACAAGTTTACCGTTTACTCCCTGGAAACATTATTTGCAAGTCTTCGAAATGCAGCCGGTGATCAGTGTAATATAAATATGATCCCATTGGCAGAAAGAGATTTGCGAAATGATTCCTTTTCTCATACTCTGGGCTTAGAGTGCGAGGTAAGCATTATAACAGCGATTGTGATTATAATTATTTATCTTTGAAGAAATTGTTCTTTCATTTAATTTTCTTGGGTTTAGTTCCATCAAAAGTTAGACGGGGCCAAATTTTTCTGCAGTCAGTCAATTATAAAGAGATGGGCGTTCATAATATGCGACAATTGTTGCGAAAAGTTGGGAATTGAAACTATTCCTGGAATTCACTGCCCAGTTGCCGTATCAGAATCAACTGGAAATTGTCTTGAACTGTTGAGCGACAATATGAACTCAATGACTCTTATGGAAAAAATGGGCAGTGTGCTATCAATGACAGGGGTAAGCTGTACATGATCATAGAGGATATGAACGATTATGAAACCGCTGTTATAAATGTATTAGTAAATACTTATTACTTCAGAATGTATTTTTCGCTCGTAATCAATATTTCAGAATGTACCTTTTTATTTGTATTAATTTTGACAACATTTAAATAGGTATCTGAAGAGCATCGCCGAAAGGCGTCCGAGAGAACTCATGCCGAAGAACAGAGACGTCGTGCTGATTCGAAGGATTTACATATTATAGACCACAGTAAATTGCCGAAAGAACCAATCCCGCAGCCCGTAAGTTACGTTGTTAAATAAAGTTAATATTTAAATCAGGGATTTCGTGTAAAAGTATTACATTTTTAGATTCCGGAGAGACCGCTTCGTCGTCCAAAGACAAAAGGTACATTCTAGAACATACACATGTTTTTAATAATGGATTAATGTTTTTTATATACACATTTTTTTATTTTTGTTTAATTCCACAAGAAATGAACTATTAGTGCTACTGTGGTTGTTACTATTTATTAATTAAAAAATATTTAAGAAACTGAGGTTTGGCATAATAGTTCAATTGATGTGAATGATAGTAACTCAGAAGTTATATTTCTCACCTTTTAACCGGAGTATTGAATTGTACATGTGTACTTTAATAACGAGTTATCTTGTCATGTCCGGTTAAAAGATTAATATCAATGTCGAATTTTTGTTATAATAAATTACAAACTATATGTCACATTGAATTGTAATTAACAATAGTGTACTTTGCTTCTGATTGTAGGGTATGCTTGGGCTGCAGGAGAAATGGAGCCTCCTCAGCTGAACGATGCAGACTTTCCCGCAATTGGTAATTAATGAGTACATAACTTATTTATGGGTATATACATACTTTCTTATGGGTATTTAATTTTGATACTAGCGTAATTACATAAAAGTATATTATTATATAGTAGGAATAATTGAAATTGTTTTTATTACCTCAGGTGGTAGAGGCGTTGCGTTAAAGAGAAACCTGGCCGATAGAGTTCCTGGTCGTGGACGAGGTAACAGTGATACATTTATCTATGTTTAAATTTAAGGATGAATTGCACATCACCAGAGATATAAAAGTTCTAATATAAATAATATTATAAATGTTTTAGGTGGCGGTGCTCCACACCCTAATTAAATACCTTTTGCTATTATCAGTTTTCTATTCTGGATCTCGGTTCTTTCATTTAGAGATCAAAAGACAAAAGTACTGAACATCTTATAGTTCATAACTACTTGCCCAAAAAATTTATAATAAGTTTAACCTTTTATTTACTACAAAAACGAATTGCTATTATCAAACTATAATTTTGTTGGACCAAGTGTAGGCTGTTAAATGATAATTTTGTTTTCTAAATGAAAAATGTAGGAGAATATACAGGTTTCTACCATATGTACGTTACATGTTAAATATTAAAGACGTTTTTATTGTATGTCGGAGCAGTACGATGTCAGTTTACATCTGTAGGTGCGAAAAATTATAGACAGTAAGAAGAAACTGAAATATTTTGTTATCAGCGTATTTTTTGGTAGTGGTTCATTATGCGTGAAGAGTCCATCTTATTAGTAGACTTTGATGAATTTAGGTTTACCCATTGACTAATTAAGCTATAGTTTTAAAAATATTTGCGCTATTTCAATACGCGACTTCAGGGTGTCTGCTTGTAGTGAGAATATTTCGTTTTTATTTATAACATCATTCAAAGGAATCATTCTAGTGGGGCTTCACTATAAGAGGCCAAGGAGCCATGGCACTACCATAAAGAACCTGCCATTTAAGTTTCTTTTTACTTCTGAAAATAACTATCATTACTTATTTTGTAATTTTAAAACCTAAACGATTGAATCATTCACTGAATCATTCAATGATTATTTTGAATTGTTTCGCTAGTTATTTGCACAATAAATAATTACTAGTCACTTTAGATTTATCTGAAACGCTTTTGTGATTAATAAGATATAATTGTATTGGAAATGTTTTATCGGAGAATACTTATTTTGTGACACAATAATATGAAAAGCAGATACCTTGATACAAAGTACACTTTTGTTTCATTGCACAAATTTATCCCGAAAATAAATTCTGGATGAATAATCACTAATATTTCATTGATAAATTTATCAATGGATTTATCCTGTGATAACTTCAAAGATGAATAAAAAGGATGTTAACAATTCACAAAACGGCTTGGCATTTCTTAGGAAATAGAATGTTTCAGAAGTAACTAAATTGTACGTATGTTCAACTGTTTATAATGACAATTTCACGATACGAAATGATGTGTTTATTTTCAATGTTGATAAAATTATTATGTCCCTTTTAAGTTTGTAATAGTTTAGTATGCTAAACATGTTTTGCGTACTTCTTGGTTGTTAAGCGATACTCTAAGACTTAATTAAATATTTTTCCCTTTTAATTCTAATGCTTGTAAAATAAAAGAATTTTTACATGATATGTTGATATGCTTTTGTTGCGTTCTCCAGAAGACTGAATGCAAGTATATAAACATACGAAGGAGTAAGAAGATATCATCGAGGAGAATCAAACCATGCCTTATGTTACGTCATTTTCATCGATTTCGGCGATAAAATCATGTGAAAACAAATGAAAATAAAAATAATGCAATGCAGACTTGATAGAAGATTGCATGATTAAGCTGCTGAAACTTCTGTTTACTAGTGCACTGTTTAAACAGAAGATGGCCTTCATAATAGAGACAATTGGCATCGTTACGATATCTCGACGTTATTCCTCATTTTTCCTCATTTAGAGTGATTTAAAGAGTGAATGTCCGTGAGTTTATATCATTTATCCTTGGCTTTTAGTATGACGTACTCAGTCAGTGATACCGTCGACATTTTGTTCATCCTAAGTGAGTGTCGACGAGTGTATCAGGTTGCTGTACGACTTTATTAATAGTGTTATTCAAATTGACGAAATCATCCTTTCACTGCAGTAATTCGTAACATTGAAAAAAATTATCGCCGGGGAAAAATTGGACAAGAACAGCCGTAGTAAGGTGTCAATCCTAACGATTGAGCTAAGAAGGCAGCAAATTTTAAGAATCTGAATAATCTGAAGAACCCGTTCCATGTCGGTGTTAATATCTTAGAATCACCTTCGTGTTTTAATGTGTTTAAATTCATGTCATTTTGTTAGAATATAAGTAAGACATCTGTCAAACCTGAATTTATTTTACTTAAGGTGAAGTGAAACGCATCGGGGAACTTGATCGACGTCGATAAGAATTTTTCTAAATGCCTACGTTGCCGATGTTGGTTTTTATATTGACAGCTGGGTCGAATTATATTGGGTATTGTACCAAATGAAATACTCCACCTGTCGTTTTCGTACAATAATTATAAAGAAATCGAAGTAAAACTCCAGAAATTCTCTGGATTCGTGCTCTCTGGGGCCTTAATTGACTGCAGAGGAACCCCCTGCGCCATCTGTGATTTCCAGGTCAATTAAATTTTCACTTCGAGACCTCGTATTACCATCCTTTTAGCATAGAAGCGCATACAACACTTTTTTTGCCTTTAACCCGTTTAAATGCGAGTTTATCGATTACCAGAGTGTTCTAAATTGTCGTAAAATTGTCCTGACCCTTTCGATTCTCATATCAGAGCCTTCGATAATTGTACATTGATCGAAATATGAGAGCTCGACGCTATTTTGGTTCTGGTCTGGGCTGAGTTAAAAAGTTTTGTTCGAAAATCCAAATTTTGAATGTGTCAGGACAATTCTTAAGTAATCGCAAATCGTGTGTCAAAGTTTCGGACGGTTCGATGCAACACCCTTAAAGACAAGTGTCTTATTCGAATCGACTAATTTGAGGGGGGTTCCGCTTCACCTCAATGTACCTTAGGATCTTTTTCCCAATGGTTAGAAGTAATTTTTAAATAGTATTAAATACCTGCGTCAACTACTATAAGCTTTGTTTATACAAAGTTACGCAAGCATGTATGTACAGTCATTAAGTGGGTACTGCGAGGTGGTCTATTTTAGTTGAGAACTCGTGGAGTTCTTTCACAGCTTCCTCGATTCTCTTCGCATACTCCATATCGCTTTTCATGATTTCCAAAACCGTGGACCGCCTGTCGTTGTATACGAAATTCGCATAGGATTCTGGATCACCGAAAATTTTCGTTGCAATTTTTCTATCCATTAACACGGTGGGATAAAATATAACGGCTGATACCACAGCTCCTAGACGTTGCTCTTCCATTGCTGTTACGATCTCCGACCACGTTGGTACCTCCACCGATGCGTTGTTAGCTTTCATGGTTTCGACCAAGGTCGAGTAATAATGTCGCAGCATAGGTACTTCCTGAGCTTTCCGAAAATCTCTATTCGTGGTCAAGTACATGAAACAAATGACGTCTTGTACGGGCGGACTGTAGCGAATCAGTTGGAAGTCGACAATCCGACATTTAGGTGGAGAGCTTTTATCGAACACGAGATTGCTGCTCCAAATGTCTGCGTGACAAATTACGTTCTTTTTCGTAGGAGAAGGCTCGACGGTACGGAAAACTTCCTCGCAAGCTCTTGGTATCTCTGCTGGATCTAGACCCAACTTTTTGGCGATAGTCACTGCGAGGTCCACTCCGGCCTTAAACCATTGGTAAATCTTTCCTGTTCTTAGGAAAGATCCCTCCTCGAAAGCCCTAGAATTAAGGATAGAAATGTATTATTTCTAAATATTAAGCCTATGTTATGGCGATTCCGTCCGAGGGGTTATTCACTCGGGTAATCCTCGATTTTAAGGTGAAGTGAAACACGTTGAGGAACTTGATCGACGTCGATAAAGAGGATTTTTCTAAATGTCTACGTTGCCGACGTTGGCTTTTATATTGACAGCTGTGTCGAATATATTGGGTATTGTACCAAATGGCATACTCCACCTGTCGTTTTCGTACATTAATTATAAAGAAATCGAAGTAAAACTCCAGAAATCCTCTGAATTCCTGCTTTCTGGGGCCCTAATTGACTGCAGAGGGACCCCCTGCGCCATCTGTGATTTCCAGGTCAATTAAATTTTCACTCCGAGACCTCGTATTACCATCGTTTTAGCATAGAAGCGCATACAACACTTTTTTTGTCTTTATGCCGTTCAAATGCGAGTTTCTCGATTACCAAAGTGTTCTAAATTGTCGTAAAATTGTCCTGACCCTTTTATATCTCATATCAGAGCTTTCGATAATTGTATATTGATCGAAATATGAGAGCGCGACGCCATTTAGGTTCTGGTCTGGGCTCAGTTAAACAATTTAAAAAAAAAATCCAAATTTTGAATGTGTCAGGGCAATTCTTAGATGATCAGGAGTGACGTGTCAAAGTTTCGGACAGTTTGGTTTAATACCCTTAAGAAAAAGTGTTGTATTCGAATCGACTGATTTGAAGGGTGTTGCACTTCACCTTAACCCTCTGACTACTAAAGGCGCCTAAAGGTGTCCGACGTTTGGTCCAATATTGCCAGCACGCGTCAATGAATTTCGCCCATATGTCGAAAGGGCTCCGTATTCAAAGGGTGAAATGAACGTCACTACCTCGGGTACATATCCATCAGCTTCTTTTGGAGACGATGTTCCGTCAGAAGAGAACTCGCATGAAACCTTGCCATGCACGATAGGGCAGATTTGACGAGTTCCTCGTCGAAGAGACCAGAACGATTGGTGAAGCCTCGGGTCCTGAGGTCGTCAAGGACCAACGTATCCTCTTCTGTTGCGTAGCAAGTGGCACACCAAGGCTCGCCATCATACCCCTCCATCATGAGAGGCACCAGTTTATCGAAAAAAATCACTTCTTTCGAAAAAGCATTCCTCTCCTCTATGACGTAGACTTGGGCGACATTGTGGTACGGAATGGTCTTGACGAAAAATTCCTGCGTGTCCTTGCGGGACGAGTCCTTGTCCAGGGTGATCACCCGAACGTGCAGATGCAAGCCTAAATATCCAACTTTTTCCGCAGAAAATTGTTGGATCTTGACGGTCACGATTTTTCGATTGGACTTTTCAAGGGCGCGGCGCACCAAGCGATCTATTTTTCTTGAAGTCACTCCTTGTTCTTCTAAATCGGGCTTCAAAGTCATGATTTTTAACGGATCGTCGAATACTCGATTAGAATAAGGGAGGTTCGTTCGACGGAACGACACCGAGAAATTTAAACTGGAAATAACCTCTGCCTTCGATTTGCAGAACTCTTATATATCTGTCGAAACAACGGGTGCGTCTTAATCCTGGGATGTTGCTTATATTTACTGTTTTAATTCGTAAAAACACTGTCTTGACAGGTGATGGCTATCGCAAGGAGGCTGTTGGCTCTTTTTCTTACTCGTGTGTCTACCTGAACGTGATTTCAGGAAATTTTCCAATACATATTGCCCCTGATGATCAGTTTAGGGCTTTAAATTCCGTATTGCTCTGAAGAATATTTGTAGCACTTTTTGTTCATTGTAAGTAATCTCTTTTTTAATATTTCACAGAGAATATTAATTGATTAGATACATCATGGCGTAATTCATCTCAAGTACTCTTTTTTCCAGATGGATGGAAATTAAATCCGATCGACTTTTATTTCTCGGTTTAGTTAGTCGTAGTGTCATATTTATAACAAAATTTACGTAATGTGCAAATGTTATTTTACAGAGATGGTGTGTCTCAGAATTCTTATTTAATAAATATATAATTCTCTTCATTCGGGTGACTATTTTCCGAGTTATTTAAAATTCAAGCTGGATTTAAGCGGGCCATTGCCGGCCCCGGATAACACCATTTTATCTATAAATATTCTTTAAATCTTTCGATATACTCTGGATATTTTAAATACTTAATGATTATTCTATGTAACTATACTTCAGTATACATTTGTATTCGCAAGTGTTCAAAATATCGAAACATTTTTAACAATGTATCTTCAAGACCGACAAAACTTTTACGATGTCATCGTAAGCTCTTATTGCTTTTGTAGTACTGAATAATAATACTTCAGCGTCATCGTTCACACCTCCATCATCTCATTTCAGTGGTTAAATGCAAAACATAGAAATGTCTTTTAACAATAAAATGTTCCTGTCGTACTGAACAATAATACTTCATCGTCATCGTTCTCACTTCAATCATTTCATCTCAATGGCCAAATGCATGACAAAGAAATGTTTTTTTAATAATAAAATTATGCAGTAATTACGAAAGTGATCTGTCATTTTTTTGTTTATTAAAAATTCACTTTACATTCTTGTAATTTCAATGTATGCAACACAAAATATGGGATAAATTCATTTTCTTTTAGATTTTTGAGGTAAACCACTCTCATAATTACGGACACAAATGTATGTTTCAAGCAAGAGAGCAAAGCGGGTCAGCTGAAATTGTATTACGGAAGCTGCAAGGAATCTTGCCAGAGTATACAGGACGAAGTTTAAGGACTTCTCGACGAAGACATCAGACCCAGGGGCAAAGCCCAGTTTCTTGAGGTCCCGCACCACCAGGAAGTTATCCTGGAGTAAGCAGAAGTTAGAAGAGAAGTCCTTGTTTCGGTATTTCTTTTTTAACAGGGGTAATGATTTCCTAAAAACATCGTTTGTCGGTAGCTGGAGAATGAACCTTATCGGTTTTAATTTATCATAATTGAATTACGTTTTCTTTAATGAAAGACAGTGATACTTATAATCAATTGTACGCACAGTAGAAATACTTTATACACAGTCCAATCCCTAAGGGACGCACACCGCTAGATCCTGTTTATTTAGTTGTACAATTAAAATGCGATTTATACAATGTATTTTCCTAAAGACTACGGCTTGTATGTATATCTCACATTTTGTGATAAGGTGAATTGAAACACGTTGAGGAACTTGATTGACGTCGATAAAGAAGATTTTTCTAAATGCCTACGTTGCCGACGTTCGTTTTTATATCGACAGCTATACCGAATCAGATTGGGTATTGTACCAAATGGCATACTCCGCCTGTCGTTTTTGTACAGTAATTGTAAAGAAATCGAAGTAAAACTCCAGAAATCCTCTGGATTCATGCTTTCTGGGGCCCTGTTGACTATAGAGGGACCCCCTGCGCTATCTGTGATTTCCAGGTCAATTAAATTTTCACTCCGAGACCTCGTATTACCATTGTTTTAGCATACAACACTTTTTTTGCCTTTATCCCGTTCAAATGCGAGTTTATCGATTACCAGAATGTTCTAAATTGTCGTAAAATTGTCCTGACCTTTTCGATTCTCACATCAGAGCCTTCGATAATTGTATATTGATCGAAATATAAGAGCTCGACGCCATTTTGGTTCTGGTCTGGGCTGAGTTAAAAGATTATTGTAAAAAATTCAAATTTTGAATGTGTCAGGACAATTCTTAGATGATCAAGAGTAATGTGTCAAAGTTTCGAACAGTTTGGTCTAATACCCTTAAAAAACAGTGTTGTATTCGAATCGACTGATTTGAAGGGGGTTTCACTTCACCTTAAGTGATAACTTTTAGCCATTTAATGACTTCGGACGAAAGACGTCATTTAACGCTAAAAGTCACGAACGAGTACGGATCAAAGTCTTCACGTTGGTATTGGCAAGTGTTCGATTCTCATTGATAACTCGTGCAGCTCTTTAACCGCTTCTTCGACTCTCCGTTTATATTCCGAATCCCTCTTCATGTTTTCAAACACCACCGGCCACCTATCTCGGAAGACGAAGGTTTCATAATTTTCGGGATCATCGAACACCTCGTGGCAGAGTTCTGCATCCATCAAGACATTTGGCAGAAACTGAACGGCAGACACTGTGGCGATCAAGCGTTGTTCCTCCATCGATGTTGCGATCTCGGACCAAGTTGGTACCTCCATCGATGTATTATGTGCTCTTATCGCTTCCTCTAAGACCGAATAATAATACCTCAGCATCATCGTTCCTCGAGTTTTCCGAAAATCTCTGCTGGTGGTCAAGTGCAGGAGATAAGCCACGTCTTGGGCAGGAGGGCAGTACCGGATCAGCTGGAAGTCCACCAGCAGACACCTCGGTGGTGAGGTCTCATCAAACAGGAGATTACTGCTCCACAGGTCTCCGTGACAAATGACGTTCCTTTTGCAGGAGGAGGGCAAAACGGAGTGAAACACTTTCTCGCAAACCTGAGGGATCCTGGAGGCGTCCAGGCCGAGATTCTCCGCGATGACCACGGCAAGCTCCACCCCGGTGATAAAACATTGGAAAAGCTTTCCGCTGTTGCTGAAGGAGGCCTCCTGGAAAGCTTCTGGGCAGATCTCCAGCAAGCCCTTCTGCAGACGATGTTCCGTTAAAAGGGAAGCTGCATGGAATCTGGCCAGACAGGACAGAGCGGACTTCAGTGACTCCTCGCTGAAGAGACCGGATCGAGGAGAAAAGCCCAATTTCCTGAGGTCTTGCAACACCAGGAAGCCATCCTCGACCAAGTAGGAGTTAGGACAAAACTCCTCGCCCTGGTATCCCTCTTTTAAAAGGGGTAATAGCTTCTCGAAGAACAGCGCTTCTTTTAGGAAGACTCGACGCTCGCGAATGTAGCTCACCTGAGTGTCGACCTCGTAGGGCAGACTTTTGACGAAGAAGTCAAGATTTTCCAGCTCTTTTCTTCGGGGTGAGTTCAGTTTGATCACGGACACTTGGAGGTGATTATGGGCACCCAGAAAACCGAGCTTCTCCGAAGAATATGGCTTTATCTCGTAGGATACGATTTTTGTGTTGGGGGTCCCAAGGACCCGTTCCACCAGCAGTTGGACGTCCTTCGATGTGAGTTTCCGAGGAGATTTGGAGTCTTCTGCTGGCGTCAAGGGATCGGTCTTATCCTGGTAAGCAGCCAATTGGTGGCGTATCTTAAATTCTGCGAAACTTTCAAAATTGTCCTGGTTACGCGATCTGGCATAATTTGATGATGGTTCCATGTTGCAGGTTGCAGGAGTCCATTGTTTCCGCAGGTTCCGATGGTTTGATGATCCGGCAAGACGACGCTTGTCATTTTGGAGTGGAAGTAGTTGAATTCGTCGATGGGTCCTCTCCTTTTATGCTTATCGTGACAGGGAGGAGGCATAGTTTTTCGAACTTAATCAATATTTATGGCCTTAATTTTTTATACCGCCACCGAGATCCGGCGCTATCTTTGACTGTTACATTTTTTTTCGGGGGCTCTTCGGATATATTTATGGTTGTCGAAATGATGTATATCTTAATCTATCTGTAGTTCATCTTACTCGCTGCTTTGCCGATATTTATAGCCCTAATTTTTAAGCGACTTAATACTCTCGAGTGTAAGTTTCATCCGTTTCTTTGATAATTCGTTCGGACGCTATTTCTACACGTACCGATTTACATTCGAACAGAGAATTGTTTCCGTTGAATTTTTATTGTTTGTATTTTTAATGTATCGTTCTATTCCAAAGTTAGTGGCATTTTAACTTACGTAGTATAATTTCAATGCCACATGTAATCAAAACGTGGAAATTTGGTACAGTAGCGCGTAACTCATCGCAAATTTACTTCAGTTCTCTTTATCAATAGAGTTATCTGAATCTTCTGGATGTTTCGTCGATGTACTTAGTGACATACGTCGTATGATGTATGCACACATCAAGAATAAAACGTTTCTGTCAAACCGAGGCTTGTGACGACATGTTTGCATTTGCGATCTGCCGAGATGAGTGCAATAAACCATACCTACATTTAATTAGGTCGCGGTTTATGTTGAATGCTCGGATTTTATTTAAAAATTTGAAGAGTCAACTATTTCAAGTATATTTGAAATTTGATTTAGTTTTACATGGCAGACATTTTTTTCCAGTCTTGTCTATCAGACTTCACCAATATTGAAAGTATGAAAATAATCGACTTCAGGTAGCAAAATATTGTTTTATTTTTCCGGCCATTGTTGTTTCGCTGTATATTTGGAAAGAAAGCTTTTACCGCGATACGTGCTTTTACGTATTTTGCCGACTTTTGCGGGGAAATGCTGAATTGTTTTGCTTTTTTCTGGCAGAGTGCCGATACCCGTAGTCGTCGATTACTGGAACACTTCATCGAGTACTTTTATGGACGAGAAGAGTAAAGAATGGAGGAAACGTTACATTTCCATCTCCAATCGTGTTCGCATCCTGAAATGTGAGTAGAAGTCGCAATAATAGGATATTTCCAAAAGAAAGTAAACACCGCTTTTTTCGATATAAGTATCCGAGATGACGAATGACATCGATATTTAAAGTACCGCAATAGCCAACTTTCTTTTTCCATTCGCTGCATTGTTGTAAATTATTAATTTGTATTATCGCAAAATATTACATTGTACTAATGCATGCAGTCCAGCACTGGTAAAAATATCAGTTCGCGGTATAATATATTTCGAGTCGACATTTTTCTGAGATACAATATTTGGAAATTTTGTACAGAATTATGATAGGGATTTTGGTGGTACTAAATTTCGAAATCTTTTGTATACAAATGTTCAATTGGATGTGTGACAATTCTAGGCAATGCTGTACAAAGGTACATATTCGAATATACGACCGTCATAAGATACGTTAACAAAAACTCGAGTACTTTATATACCGATATACGATCACATAAATATACACAATTGTGGGTATTTTGATGAAAAAGCATTGTACATTTATTAACATTTGTACCGATTTCTTTTCTCATCTTTCTGTTTTCTCCAAAAGTTTGAATATTTATATACGTCTTACGGCTTCATCGAGAATGTGAAAGAAGCAATTTTGTTTTTGTTAACGCTTTCATTGTAAAGTTCCATCCTTTAAGGTGAAGTGAAAGAAGTTGAGGAACTTGATCGACCTCGATAAAGAAGATTTTTCTAAATACTTACGTTGCCGACGTTCGTTTTTATATTGACAGCCATGTCGAATTATATTGAGTATTGCACTAAATGGCATACTCCACCTGTCGTTTTCGTACATTAATTATAAAGAAATCGAAGTAAAACTCCAGAAATCCTCTGAATTCCTGCTTTCTGGGGCCCTATTGACTGCAGAGGGACCCCCTGCGCCATCTGTGATTTCCAGGTCAATTAAATTTTCACTCCGAGACCTCGTATTCCCATCGTATTAGCATAGAACCGCATATAACACTTTTTTTGTCTTTATCCCGTTCAAATGCGAGTTTCTCGATTACCAGAGTGTTCTAAATTGTCGTAAAATTGTCCTGACCCTTTTGTATCTCATATCAGAGCCTTCGATAATTGTATATTGATCGAAATATGAGAGCGCGACGCCATTTTGATTCTGGTCTGGGCTGAGTTAAAAAAATTTTTTTAAAAATCCAAATTTTGAACGTGTCAGGACAATTTTTAGATGATCAGGGGTGATGTGTCAAAGTTTCGGACAGTTTGGTCCAATACCCTTAAAAAAAAAAGTTGTATTCGAATCGATTGAAGGGGGTTTCACTTCACCTTAAGGCGCGTACACATCTGAACGACAACGTGGACTAGGCAAGGCGAGGCGGAACGAATGCCTCGTACGGGTTCGTGTTCTCATCTGTACCTGGACTTTTGGTTGATAATGAAATCATCCGAGGCACCAATCAAGGCATTTTTGTAGATGTCATTTGTACTGCCTCGGATCATATGGCGAACCAACCCGAGGCAATTTGTTCGATTGCTCGTCCACATATGTATCCTCGTTCTGCCTCGTTTTGCCCCGTACGCTTTCGCGTTCAGATGTGCATACGCCTTTATAGTTTGCAGCGAACTATCTCTATTGTGTGTCTTGCAGATATGAAATTAAAAATAGTAGGAAGAAAGAAGGGAAAACAGCAAAACATAGAATTGACCATCCATTTCTAGGACACCTAAAGCGGGAAATTATAAAGGACGTTTTGCCTCGTACACGTTCGCGTTCAAATGTGCATACGCCTTTATAGTTTGCAGCGAACTATCTTTATTGTGTGTCTTGCAGATATGAAATTAAAAATAGTAGGAAGAAAGAAGGGAAAACAGCAAAACATAGAATCGACCATCCATTTCTAGGACACCTAAAGCAGGAAATAATTCCGTTTTTGTCGCTTTCGAGAAGCCAATTATCATTTGCTCTGAAAAGGGTCGAAGGGTCGTAGGGTTTCATCGAGAATGTGAGAGGAGTAATGTTTCGCCCTCGTCGAGGGGGTTTCTTATGTCTCGCAATTTATACCGTATTCAAGTCGACCTCTCTCTCTCTCTCTCTCTCTCTCTCTCTCTCTCTCTCTCTCTCTCTNTATCAATAACTCTTTTAAGTTCAGTCTAATAATCATTTCATCATTTATGCACCTTCGCAATCTCGACAGACATACCCTCAACAACTATAAAATTCGAATCACAAATTAATTTTCCCTGCAAGACGCTCAGTTTTCCAAAAGAAAGGAAACGACGGTAGAAATTTGATCACTGTACCTTGATTTATCAAGTATAGAGAAATTTCAGCAACAATTAAAAAAACGGCTAACAAAGACCCGAGGAACGCAGTTTTGGGGCTCACGGGTCAGCGTTCCCAGGTCTTCATCTTTTAACCATATAATTATAAATAATTAACTCAACGAGTGTAATCGCGCGTACAAACGTACACTCAGACGTTGCCTTATATGCTTTCGTAAAACAATTTGCGCGATTCGAGACGTTCTTCCGGTTCGGTACAGATGCAAAAGGGAGTTACGAGCGACATTCAAGGAAATGGTCTTAACGATGATGACACTTTCTCAGAAAATAACTGTCTTGTTCTATTTAAAGTGGAAATGTTTTGTTAATTTTTAACCGCTTTGTAGGGTCTTATTAATCTATATTTTCTGGTTCTAATAATTGAGGAGGTTCTCCTGTTTGATATGGATACGATCAATTAAAAATGGCGGAAATGTAGACAGGTTGCAAATAGAGAAACCCCGCACATTTTCACCTTTTCATCAACAGGGTGGGAGAAAAATATTTATTGAATAATTTTATATCATTCCTTTGATTCTTAAAGTTTTCTCTGGGTTGGAAGAGCGCCAAAATTATAAATGTAATATCAAGGCAGAGTTTAAATGATATCGGACAAGTTCTGTCTAATGGGGGTGATTGAGGGAATATTTCCATTGAATTAGTAAAAATGCAAGGGATTAAATTTTCAGAAGTGAAGATTAATTTTTTAATACCTATACCATTTTAAATGGTATACCATTAATTTGGTGATTAAACTGAGATTCCAGGTTTTACATTTATAAAGGCTTGATTCGCAAAGCTGCTTAACGATAATAAATCACCCCGAATTAAAACGGATTATACCCTTCGAGTGTAATTGCTCAATGTGACAGTTTTACAAATTTGTACATCCATCCCGGGAATTTATACATAAGGGATAAAATTTATTTTCGACTGGAAGTCGACAATTTTTTAGGAGGTCGACGTGGTTTTTACTTAAAAGAAATGCACATTCAAATGTCTAGTAACCAATTTCAAAATCTTCTCCGTACCAATTCCGAAGTGAGTTAAACAGGGTTTTACATATAGAAATTTATTAAAAAACAAACATTTATAAATTTCGAATTCTATTTTTATATGTCGCGAGAAAAGCCGCGACGGGAGTGTTAGTATATTGCATAGTTTCAGTAATTCAACATGGTTTCCCAAGTCGATATTCAAATGTGTAAAATGAGATTAAAGGACTTACTTGCCAAAGCTGTTTAATGATGACGGAACACCTTTAGGGAGGATGGATTATCCCGCCAAGTGTAAATGTTAAATGTGGAAGCTGTATAATTTGAATATGTATGAACTTACATAGAGAGCGCCTAAAGATGAAATACTCGTGCCTCATTTCTGGCGTTAAAAGACGTCTTTTATCTGTGATTTTTAAGAGAGCTAATACCTGTTGACCAAGCGAAAATATCCATTTTTCTGATAGGTACAGGAAAAAAATGAAACACAACATGTAAATATATCTTAAGCACTTTATTAACCATGCTTTTAGGTACATAATATCATTTTGCAAAAGAAAATACTGTTTTGATAATTTAAAGGCACTTTCTAAATAGTCTAAAAATTTGGTTCCGCATACTCAATATTTTGCACACATTTTAATAGAATCTGTGGTTATAGACATGACTACTGACAGTTATGTAGAAGCAAAATCACTAAAAATTTTAGTTATCCATTCATATTTTTTTTTGCAAATTTTTCCATATTTTGATAAAACGACCATTAAAGATCATTAAATGCTATCGGGAATGAATGAAAATGGCAATTTCTAAGCATGCACTCATCGTGATCATTCTTCTAAAAGCGGAATATTCTAGAGTGATTCGTCTGCCTGAAAACTTATGACAAACGAGAATATACAGAAAATGTAGAATAAAAATGAATGTACATAATTCAAACGATTTTTTCATGTAAAATGATAAAGAATTATATGAATGTGTATCTAAAAGTACAGGTAATAACTCGCTTAAACACTATTTAAATGTTGTAGTTCGTTTATTTCCTGCACTTGTTCGAAAAATGAGTATGACGGAGGTCCCCTTAAATTGTTAAAAAACGTCTTTTAGTACTAAAAGTGAGATATGGGCGTGAATTGAAGATTTCCGAAAATCATGAACATTTTTTGATTCGATATGAACAAGTACAGGTGCACGCATAAAGAAGGAAATGACAAGGTGTACTTGGTAAGCAGCTTAATAACTTTATTCGTATTAAGTTTTGCGGGTTTAATTACAAAAAGTCGTGTGTCATAGTCAGTGAACAAAGTTAGAATCTTTAGTTAGTAATTAACTTTAATTATAATCCATCGAGCTCCTGGAAGCTTTCCATCCGACAAATGTATAATTATATATGATTTCTATACAAGTTTATGTCACATTTATTTAATAACGCAGCATTCTTGATTAATGTTTCAATACACTCGCTCGTTTTACATCGAAGTCCTCACACGATTCATAAGCGTCTAATCGGTACAAAAGTACTCTAGAATTGAGAAAGAATGGTTAATAAGTTATCGAACTTATCGAAGCTCAGACAAAATATCTGATCTACAAGAAATTGATCATTTCGTAGTAGATCGCAAACAACGGTTAACGGCAGTTTAAACTATCTACAATAATGTACTAACTCCTTAATTCTCTTTTTAATACTTGAAAAGTCAAAATCATAAGTACATTCATTAAAGATAAAATCATGAAATTTGTCAATCGCTTTTGGAAAGTCTTAGAACGATCAATTTCTCATTTAAAGGACTGCACATCAGAAGATGGCTAATTTTAAATTCACACAGTTGTGTAGAATCCATAATTTAGAAATACACAGCAAGAGGCAGCACTCTTTCTTGAGGTAAAATACAAAATGTAAACTAAAGTAAATCACTCTGGTAGAAAATATTCTCCAACAAATGTTTAGACTGTATATCATATTATCAATAACTCTTTTAAGTTCAGTCTAATAATCATTTCATCATTTATGCACCTTCGCAATCTCGACAGACATACCCTCAACAACTATAAAATTCGAATCACAAATTAATTTTCCCTGCAAGACGCTCAGTTTTCCAAAAGAAAGGAAACGACGGTAGAAATTTGATCACTGTACCTTGATTTATCAAGTATAGAGAAATTTCAGCAACAATTAAAAAAACGGCTAACAAAGACCCGAGGAACGCAGTTTTGGGGCTCACGGGTCAGCGTTCCCAGGTCTTCATCTTTTAACCATATAATTATAAATAATTAACTCAACGAGTGTAATCGCGCGTACAAACGTACACTCATCGCGCTTAATTACTCCATATGTACATGTTACAGTGAAACACCGAAATCGGAAGAATGTCGACTTTCACCGGTGAATGTCAACATTCACATAGTCGCTTCGTGTATGTCCGAAATATTTGCTAAATACCCTTATTTCTGACTTACACCGGTAAATGTTGACATTCACCGGTGTGTGATTGTCGACACACACTGGAGAGGGTCCGAATGTACAACAATGTAATGAAATATTCGATCTTTCACCGACGTATTTGGTATCTGTTGACATTCACCGGTGAAAGTCGACATTCTCCAATTTCGGTCATTCACGGTAACATACAAATTTCAACAGCGAATGAAAACAAATTCATAGTAGAAGGCCTACAAAGCGCAAGTTCAGGGATTCGTATATAGGACGGCGTTCCCTGCTCGTCTATATAACTAATACAATTAATTAATGTAAACGCACTCCTTCGCGTACACGTACACACCGCGTACTTGAGTTGCGTTTACGCAGACTGTAAAGGCTTAATCTACGCGCAGAAATTAAAACTAGCGAAAATGAGTGATTACAGAAGACCTAAGGAACGCAATTTCGGGGCTCGTGGGACGGCGGTCCCTGGTCTTCTCCATAATTAATGCAATGACTATAAACATTTCTTGGGTGTGTACGTGACGCACAGACGCCATTACGAGTACGCATAATTGGATGAGTATCAATTTTCTTTTTTCCTTCCTATTTTATGTTTCTCTCAGCCATTGTCCTTCATCATACGCCTAGATATAACTTCGCGTTAACGCATGCGTTTAGTTACGATTATTCATTATCTTTATCGGACCAGCCGTGTACATGTTAATAATTAGGCTGAACGCACACTTAATTAGGCGCATTGTTGCACCTACGAATCCTCGGCCTTAACAATATCGAATTACGCGTCGTAGGTATATCGTGTGCACTATTAGTTGGTATTACGTATGTATATATAACATATATAAATCTATACGTACATGTATTATTTTTATCCATAGTAACACATCGTTCCATTCGCGCGAATTAATTTGATTACAAGTAAGTATGTACATTAGAGCTCTGATATTCTGATATCAGGAATTTGGGAAATCATTGAGGTACGCAGGGTTCTCTTTTGAGGAAATTCGGTATAACATAAAAGTTGTACAAAATTACTTAATCATCATTTTGATGCATTACTCATTTTCTTTTTTCGACCTATGTGCTCCGATATTGAGTTTCTTACATGCTCGGATATTCGTAAAATTTGTTCAGTGGATACTTGGTTAATTTTATTTTTGCCCGAAATTAAGAGGATTAACGTAAGTGTATCCTACAAACACAAAACAGTCCGTTTGATTTAACTCGTGTAATTATCATATAATATGAATGGTAACCATAGGAGTAAAGCTACAATTCATGCGACAATTACATATGTTCCCTTTTGAACGGCATCGATGGTCATGTTCATTTTACGTACTCACTAAAAAAGCCTGAATTTCATCGCTCTTTAATTACAATAGTTTTTATATGCTCTAGTTGTGTCGGTTGATGTACACAAAACTTTGCACGCGTGATTTGTAGCTGCAAGAGATTTAGATACCCTATGATTTTCCTAAGAGTTAATAATACTTAATGCGGATCATTTTTATCCTTTGCATATTTCTACCGATGGCCTAAAGTACTTGGTAAATGTGGCTACGAATTATCCGGTCGTTTCTTAAAAACCTTCGACTTTACGTGATCTTCTAATTTACAGGAAATAACCCTTTCCGCCATAATGGCCTCCGTAAGAGTTTACCTCAGTATACATTTAGAGTTTTCAAAAATGTCTTATTCAATTCTGATAAATAACAGATAACCAGATTAAATGATATTTTCTATTCGGAAATTCACGGAAAAAGGAAAAGACAAATTGGTTATAAAAATTCCAATTACTAGATTAAATTAAATCTATCGAATTTACTCAAATCGAACGAGACTCGTTATACAAAAAATTAATAGACATCTTTTATTCTCTATTTTAGATCGCATATACCAACTATAATTAGGAAAGTACGGTACATGGCAGTACATATACCGTAAAAAAATGAGCTGTGTTAACATCTAAAGCCTTAAGTAGTGCTTACGTTCTTAACGACGCAAATCTCGCAGTCTGTACAATTAAAGAACCTCGCTGTACACCGTTTATGAAAATAACAAAGTTAAAAGCCTGTACATCATCGCGCTTAACAGCTTATTTACAGTATACCTCGGTACATTATGTACAGTACAAAGATTAGTACGAAAAATAGTCTGTCCCTCGTGTTCTTCGTTGGTGTTCCTTATCCTTTTTTACACGGCGATATGGTTTTTGTGCTTCCTTTTCGGCCAACAGTACAATTCGGTACGAGGGGCATGTCCAAACTGGGTACATGAAACAAAAATTGCATTACATGGATTACTGATAATTCAGATTGCATGCACTTTCTTTAAGGAAGATAAAATAATTATTCCATTGTCGCATCCAGCATGCGTCTTATGCTAACGCTATATGTTTTTAAAATATACATGCTGATTTTTCTTATTAATTGTTAATAATTAAGAATTCATAATTAACTGGGGTTTGATACTTTCTAAATTATTATACATCGTTTATTGAAGATTTATGATATTTCCGACTGTTTTGAAATTCATGATAATAAAAAATATTGATAATGGATGCTAATTTATTAGATATATAACGCGTGTCATTTAACGAGACATATTTGTCTTTTTAAGTTTCATTCTTTGTGAGTTTATTTTACAATATTCTAATTAATGCAAGCAGGGAAATAGTTTCAGGATATGACTTGCCATCACGGTAACTTTTTTAAGATTATGGCTTTAAGGCTTTGAAGATTAGAGATACGTGTGCAGTTATAATTTAAAAACTAATTAATTAAAACCTGCATGCAAAGTCCTGAATTTGTATCTAATCGCGGGATATTTTCATACTAAGTATACAGCGTGGAGAAAAAGTTCCTGTATAAGTTTTTTAACATTTTAAGGCCATCCTTGAACGGGAATTTTTCCCCGCATTATATAAAAATATTACTTGTAATTATGTATACGTATGTACAGGGTAAGGACAAAATTCTCGTACAAAGTTTGATCTCAAAATGTTCAAAGGTTAATACGAAAACTTTTTCTCCACCCGATATACATTATTTACACTAACTTTCGTTTCATTAAGTAAGGAGCAATTGAATATACTCTTTCTTTTAAATTGTTTACTCTGCAATCATTTCCAGAATGAGTGAAAAGGCAAGATTTTGGTCATTTCTGATGGCCAACAGTAAATCTCTTAAGAGGATACGAAAGAGTCAGCCTATATATATCTGAGAAGTCAAATCGTGAAACTCATGAAATTTCATTTTTCATCAAAAATTAATTTATTTATCATGGAATAGAACCAACATGGCGTGGTGCGTGCACGTTTACGATGGTTTACGCTTCTTGGAGGTTTACAATCGAAAATAAAGAGTTTCAGGACCTAGCTCGAACAATTTAGAATACCGTAGAAATGGAATATTACAGAGTCGGATGGGAAAATGTGATAAATACATTCACCAACGATTGTAAGAGAATGCTGGCTTGTCCTGCGGCTACCACGTGTTTTTAGAGGAAAAATTTAGTTGCAGCGAAACGTCACAGATGGCGACGTTAGTTCGTGAAAATATAAACAGTCATGAATTCATGGGATTTCGACAGTTGTACATCGATCTTTTTATCATTACTTTGCCGAAATGACATAGGGAACCCTTCAGTTCGTATAATTCTCAACGTAGACTGTAAAAGATTTCAACATAAATATAAATGTCGGGAATGGGACGCACCAGCTTATGTTACCACGTGAGTATTCAAAACGGCATTACCACTAAAAACGGTATAGATGGATTTTATTTTATCGACGTCGATTAAATTTCTTGGCGCCTTTCATATCCTCTTAAAGTGCTTTAAATGAAGTGAAAACTATTCTAGGGAATTTCCTCGACTTACAGGTATAATTCGTTGTGCGTACAGCGGTATGTCTAGGGACCTACGCGAAGGTCGAGTTTAAAGGGGTCGCCGATCGGATCGATGGCCGATGATCGAAGATCGATCATCTAGCCGGCTTTATCCACGTGAAGAGAGTCGTGCGACCAGAAATGCTTTTCCGTACGTTTTTCCCTCGGCCGTCCTGCGGATGAAAGTCGATGTTTGTTCTCGATTAGGACTTCTCGATGGTTTCATTTTCGACTAAATTAGGCTCAACGCTGAACCTCGTCAATCTACCGACCTATACGTCACTTTGTTCGATTCAAAAGCATTTTTCATGTCCAGGGTTGACGAATTTTCATTTGTTACACTATAATCATACTAAAGTTAGCGTCTATGGGTATGATTGATTAAAAAATGTCCTAACAATAAGTTGAATTAATTCCTAGCTAAAAGTTTTGGCCTCGCTCGGCGAGTTTTTCCAGTTTTTCTTCCCTTGAAATTTTTAATGAAAAGAGTCAAACGTTCCTCCAATTTCATAAAATTTCAATTTTACAGACATTGTTGTAGACATTTTTTTGTAACATTTAATTTATTTTTCAAAATTAAGAATAATTATTAATAACTGACTTAGAAAATTCACTTCGTGGAGTCGAACGTTCGTGGCGGTCTCATGACGATTTCTCAATTGGTTTAAAATTATTTATTATTGAAAATAATTTACTTTTTGTGCAGGAACTGAGATATTGCAGTGACCTTTTATCGAGGGTAATGTCCACGTTCTTGAACAATATTAACGTGCCCTGCTTGTTCGTTTCATTTCGTACTGATTCTGGTATGCTAGCACTTTGAATGGAGGTATGTAGGTAATCGATGGGTCGATTAACATAGGTTGGAGCCATTCGTCTTGGTTGGTTGATCAATGGGCAACCCGCGCGGATCTAATTTCGACTGTCGGCCAGGAATTCTGTTTCTAATGAGAACATTGATCCATCAACGTAATTACCGTTGGTAACTGCACTTCGTGGTTTTCGGTCATACTCTTTTAGCTTTATACATGTCGCGACATTCCACGGTTCCCGTGATTGAGTGTGGGGTTAGTTATAATCAAGATCAACACAATTTTGTATTGTTTAAAAAATGTTTACTCCCGAGGGGAGTACGAGAGAGTTAAACTGACAAAAGAGAAAAGTTATGGCATTTTAAGAATATTTTTATTTCGTTTGGAAGAATACGAAATTAATGCCGAGAGGGGACCAATAAAGACTTTTATTAAAATAATGCTTTTTGAATTAATACTTTTATTAAATTAATGCCATGAAAAGGATATCTGATAAAGTCCTGGATTTTTAATTCGAAAATTTGTCCGATTAATTAGCCAATTTTTATGAAATTTTAAATATAGCATAAGGATTTTCCTCTAAAGGTTTACGTTACTGTATCGACGTTAACGAAAGTAATGTAGAGCGCAAATATGCGGATTACATTTATCGTTACTTTTTTATTCTGCTTAATATACATCACGTTTTAACTTCCGTTTTTGTATCAGAAGACATTCGATCATTTTATAAGCTTATTCGATTCCTCGTGAAATTTTGATCATGACTGGTGTAATACTAAAAAACGATGCAACATCATGATGTGAAAATAATGTTAGACTTGTCATTTGTTTCAGAATAAAAACATCTATGATCAATATTCCATATTTAAATTTCATAAAACTTGGTTAAAAAATAAAAAAAGTTATTCGAGTATAAAAGAAAGAATCTTAAAAAGAACATCCTGTACTAGGCAATCTCTGTACCAATTTAATTGCCAAATTATTTACCTTGTTTAGGAATAAACCTATTAAGGAAATTACTTCGGACACAACTGTCGAGCATGCCATGCATACCAAGTGGAACATTCATTGGATTATTATAATTCCTGAAGCTAGTTTGTCGCGCATTCTGTAAAACATCACCTTTTCTAGCAAAGATAAAAAAATACCACGGGTGCTTTTTTTATCAAGCATAGAACATATCCTATTTTTTTTAAACAAAGATAACATCGAAAATGTCTCTGGACTGCAACGAAGATATATATCGGCATTTAAGGATATCCTGTGCGTCCTTTTGGAAACAGCTCCAAGGATTTCGCGATTGCTATCTCCGACCGAAGCTTCTAAGTCTGATTGATGAAGCTTCGAATTTGATCGAACGGAGATTTACTCGATTCGTATCCGAGAAACCTAAACGCTTTTCCCTTTGAACTCTGTCGCAGCAAATATTTCAAAGATCTGCTACTTTATTAAAGCGTTGTTCAAATAAAAGGAAACAAAAGATTAGCTCGGTACGTTCCCGAAAAAAAGAAACAAAATGGAGGACCGAGCGCGTGAATTCCGAAACCCAAAGTAGAAGATACGATTCGCTTTAAGGCGGTACTGAAATGCTCTTTCCTCGGACCTTTGCCGTGAAATCGGATACGATTCGTCCTCTCGTAAGCACTTTTAGAGTATTCCGTCGAAGGTACCGATTGTCTTCGACCTCGTAGAGCTTTTACGAGTACAGAGGCATTTTAGCTCTTTTCGAAACGAACGGAACGAGCTCATTCGTTCACCTGTGACGATTTATTCGCCGTGAAGCGCTGGAAATGGTTCGCCAAGAGTCTCACTATTTTTACAAGGAAGATATCCCAGGTCGATCTCTCCGATTTGATTTCTTTTATAATATGCTATAGTGGACTAAAAATTAAGCTACACGTATTTTTTTTTATCTGCTATTAAATACTTTAAGGGGGTGAAACCACCATCCAAAGTAAGGCGTGTCAAGGGGCGATTTGGCAGTTTCATCCACATGAACATAATATTTTTTAACCAATCCACCTGGAAAAGCTTTCTCATAACGGGAAATGAAAAATATAATTTTCTCAATTAAAAAAAAGAATTAAGGGGCGAGCTACCCCTGACAGGCCTTACTTCGGATGGTGGTTTCACCCCCTTAAGGTGAAGTGAAACCCCCTTCAAATCAGTCTATTCGAATACAACGCTGTTTTTTTAAGGGTATTAGACCAAACTGTTCGAAACTTTGACCCATCACACCTGATCATCTAAGAATTGTCTTGTTACATTCAAAATTTGAATTTTTTACAATAATAAATAACGTAAAGAAGTAGTGATTTAATTTTGGTGAAAAAATACACTTGTTATTCCGGAGATGTGGTCATAATCTCCTTTCATTATGCTAAACAATAGGTATATGTGGTTGTCAGATACGCAAAACTTTGATTTTTAAATGCTGCAAATTTTTGTCTAGCAGTACAATTTTAATACGTTTAGTTGAAATTGATCTAAATAAAGAAAGTCCTCGACTTGCGTCTGGATATTCAATTTGCTTGAACTTCATAGATTGTCTTCGAGATAAGATTAA